CCAGCACTTACAAGTGTCTGTGGAACCAGACACATCTCTACACATCATGTACCAAGCCCCATAAATATGCATTCAGTTTTCAGCTTCCAAGTCCATAAAATTCTGGGACAGGAAATACAAAAGTTCATAGTTAACAACAAATAAACATTTCATATGACAAAAAACAGCAAATATCATAATCCTACGATAACCAACGGAAACTGTCAACATGGATATACACAAGATATGGTAGTTGTCTATCATTAAGTATGATTACATCAGTCCATATTTTGTCCTACGATAACCAACGGAAACTGTCAACATGGATATACACAAGATATGGTGGTTGTCTATCATTAAGTATGATTACGTCAGTCCATATTTTGTCCTACGATAACCAACGGAAACTGTCAACATGGATATACACAAGATATGGTGGTTGTCTATCATTAAGTATGATTACGTCAGTCCATATTTTGTCCTACGATAACCAACGGAAACTGTCAACATGGATATACACAAGATATGGTGGTTGTCTATCATTAAGTATGATTACGTCAGTCCATATTTTGTCCTACGATAACCAACGGAAACTGTCAACATGGATATGCACAAGATATGGTAGTTGTCTATCATTAAGTATGATTACGCCAGTCCATATTAACCAACGGAAACTGTCAACATGGATATCCAAGATATGGTGGTTTCTATCATTAAGTATGATTACGCCAGTCCATATTTTGTCCTCAACGATAACCAACGGAAACTGTCAACATGGATATACACAAGATATGGTGGTTGTCTATCATTAAGTATGATTACGTCAGTCCATATTTTGTCCTACGATAACCAACGGAAACTGTCAACATGGATATGTACAAGATATGGTGGTTGTCTATCATTAAGTATGATTACGTCAGTCCATATTTTGTCCTACGATAACCAACGGAAACTGTCAACATGGATATACACAAGATATGGTGGTTGTCTATCATTAAGTATGATTACGTCAGTCCATATTTTGTCCTACGATAACCAACGGAAACTGTCAACATGGATATACACAAGATATGGTGGTTGTCTATCATTAAGTATGATTACGTCAGTCCATATTTTGTCCTGTGTTTCCCATCTTCTGCCTGCCCTGAATTTGCATTCCCACTTGAAATAATTAAAAGTGGAAATGTATGCCCTGATGTGATAAAAATAAACATTCTTCCTCATGCACACTCATAGAAAAACAGGTTCCCTTGATCTCTCTACATCTACATCTTCAGTTACATCCTCATCTACATCTTCAGCTATGGTGAGTGAGTGAGTATGGTTTTACGCCGCTTTTAGGAATATTCAAGCAATATCACGGACAACAGAAATGGGCTTCACACACTGTACCCATGTGGGGTATCGAACCCGGGTCTTTGGCATGACGAGCAAACACTTTAACCACTAGGCTACCCCTCCACCCCTCTTCAGCTACATCCTCATACACATCTTCAGCTACATCCTCATCTACATCTTCTTCATAAACATCTGCATTTTCAGCTACATCTTCAGCTACATCTTCAGCTACATCCGCATCTACATTCGCATCTACATCCTCATCTTCACTAACATCTGCATCTACATCTTTTTCTACATCCACATCTTCATCTACATTTATTAAAGAATTCTGAAGCAAAGCGACTAAATGTTCATCATAAATTTACCTAAAGACTATTATGAAATGATCTAAATTATGAAATGCCTGTAACAAAGTTACACAATTAGCGAAAAACAAATGATAATGTTTTGGTTTCTGCCTGCCAAACCACCCTTTTGCTGATGACGGAGACCAGGAACAAATAAAAACACACACAGATGGTCTAATGCCTTCAAAATACAGTTACATATTGCAGATCAACAAACTCGATGACCAATCACACAAATGATTCAGACTATTGATGTGGACCTCCACTTCTATATTTACTTTGCCCTGGCTGGGGGAATGAGTGAGTGAGTTTAGTTTTATGCTGCACTCAGCTATATTCAAGCTATATGTGGAAGTATATCAGTTACGATCATCTTAGAACTCCGACTGTCATAAGTATACATTAAAGTATATCAGTTACGATCTTCTTAGTGCTATGACTGTCATAAGTATACATTAAAGTATATCAGTTACGATCATCTTAGTGCTATGACTGTCATAAGTATACATTAAAGTATATCAGTTACGATCTTCTTAGTGCTATGACTTGTCATAAGTATACATTAAAGTATATCAGTTACAATCTTCTTAGTGCTATGACTGTCATAAGTATACATTAAAGTATATCAGTTATGATCATCTTAGTGCTATGACTGTCATAAGTATACATTAAAGTATATCAGTTATGATCATCTTAGTGCTATGACTGTCATAAGTATACATTAAAGTATATCAGTTACGATCATCTTAGTGCTATGACTGTCATAAGTATACATTAAAGCATATCAGTTACGATCATCTTAGAACTACGACTGTCGTAAGTATACATTAAAGTATATCAGTTACGATCATCTTAGTGCCATGACTTGTCATAAGTATACATTAAAGTATATCAGTTACGATCTTCTTAGTGCTATGACTGTCATAAGTATACATTAAAGTATATCAGTTACGATCATCTTAGTGCTATGACTGTCATAAGTTTACATTAAAGTATATCAGTTATGATCATCTTAGTGCTATGACTGTCACAAGTATACATTAAAGTATATCAGTTACGATCATCTTAGTGTTATGACTGTCATAAGTATACATTAAAGCATATCAGTTACGATCATCTTAGAACTACGACTGTCATAAGTATACATTAAAGTATATCAGTTACGATCATCTTAGTGCTACGACTGTCGTAAGTCCATGTTAAAGTATAGGAGTTACGATCATCTAAAAGCTGTGATCACTCATTGCAACAGGGCTTGATTATTAATTGTCACGGGTAACTGTTGACTGTTTGAATATACCGCTGACTAGTAAATTCTATATACACACGAAGTATACACAGACTTCCAACAACGCTATCATTCTGTCTCAGAGGCTTCACTCTCTCTGTTGTAGTATTCAAACTTGGCACGTAAATTCTCAGTAATATTGGCATTTCAATAAATGCCCATTTTTGTCTTGTATACTGACACACAAATAAAAATCATCATCAACTTTATATGCATTTGAAATGGTGTGTATTGGTGCTCATGTTCAACCCGAATCTTATCGAATGAGATCACGACCATTGTTGTTTGATTATCTCAAATACAAAACAACTTCAATTGATGTTTTTTACAACAAAGTTTGAACACGCATTTGACGTGCAGGGGTTCAAAATCTTTTTAAAAAGTGACCTTAAGGAAGTAACTTGTCCTGACTAATTTTCCACTTGCCCTGATTTTATGAAATAATCATGATGATGTAATTATGAAAGAATAAATCAACATGGTATTTGATGTTAATGTTTACTGGACTATTTATTGAAAAATGATAAATAGCAAAGAAAGATAACTCTACTTTATTATCATTGCGAAATTTAATAGCTACATTTTGAGCAGACATGGAATTTAATCCAAGTTTATTTGCAGTTTGAAACCAAAAGTGGAAATTATCTAGTAGCCCACGGACAAGTAAGATACCATTATTTGATTGCCCGAAATGAAAACTGACTTGTCCCGGGCGTCGGGCAATGGGATTTTCGAACCCCTGAAAGTTTGTCAGAATACATAATCAAACTTTACATCAACATCGTCAAATGTTTCTAGTTAAAAGTTGGCGCCTTACAATGTATAAATATATTCAGTATAGTTAATATTACAATCATACACAAATAGTAACATCAGATCACAAAGAAACTGGTTTGCATATTCACCCCAGGGCCAGTGCAGTTGTATTTAATTCTTCTTGCAATGTCATTTCACTAAGACAACGTTGTATGCCCAGCAAATGATTCCCAGAAATACTCCCAAATGCCCATATTTGCAATCAAGAATATTGTGGTAGCATAAACCTTGGAAGAGAGACCACTGAGTGATCAAATCTGTTGTTGTACACGAAATGTAACCCCTAAACCTATCCCCAGAAACTGGAAATCTCGTCAACAACTGGTGCTATCTTCCTGTAGATAAATTCGATCCCCGACCGCGTCATACCAAAAGACGTAAAAATATGGTACTTGTTGGTCGCCGCCTGGCGCTCGGCAGTAATGGGTACAACAAGGACTGGTCAGTTCGGAGTCAGACATCATGTGTCTGAGTAGAGTATTCATGTTTCACTGCGGCGTGGTATCTCAGTGGGCTAGCACTATAAAACCCGCTCAAGTCTGGGCTGGTACAAGCAGCCGCACATACACATACACACGCATGCACGTCGTCATATGAGCAAAATATTCTCAAGCACGACATTAAAGCCCAAATCTGAAGGACTGACTGACCGAGTTTGGTTTTACGCCGCTTTTAGTAATATTCCAGCAACATCATGGTGGGGGACACCAGAAATGGGCTTCACACATTGTACCCATGTGGGGATTCGAACCCGGGTCTTCGGCGTGACGAGCCAACGCTTTAACCACCGCCCCAAATCTGAAGGAGGAGACCATCATCAGTCATCTTTCTAATATTTAACCCATATAGATAAATTTATGTTGTTAAACGGTCGAGATGAACAAAAATAGATTGTGTGTTATAGTTCTACCTGACCCTACAATTCAATGATCACAGACAATATGAAATCTGACAAATTTAGCCCACACATACCGTACACCATTATATTTGCAGCATATATTGATATGCAAGGTAGGCATATCATGCCACCTTAATGTGGATGACATAAAGACCTAGGTAGCGTCTGGCAGTGCCATGCTAACAGAGATTCATTATGATGTATTCTGAGTAGTATAGTCCGTTGACTTGATTTTTTCACTTTCACTTTTCAAAGACAGACATCTTATGAACACACCACCATTTCTCTTTATCACCGGTTTTCAAGAAGGTCGCTAAATCACCATTGACCATTAATTTTGACAGTCATCTTGCATCACACAGTTGTTAGTGTTTGTTTCTAGCCATATTTTTGGCTTGAAAATGAAAATTGTATACAAGCAAATTTCACATCATACACCAATCATCTTTCGAGAGCAATTACTGTCCAAACAATGGTCATAAGGAAGTGCAAGTGGTGATGCACTCTCAAAACATTCATAATTATTATATCAATATTGATTGACTCCGATATACTGCCCACGCCTTTCAATCGTAAATTAAAAATGAAGTTCCCCTACTTTTTTTGAAGAATATAAATTCTCCTGTCACTAGTGACCAAAGAGTTTTGTCCAAACCTACAAAATGCATCCTTCCGTTTGATTCTGATTTGGAAGATTCTGTGTAATAATACACTGAACATTGTTCCATTCACTTCATGTCCCACATCTCCTGGTGATAATATTCCTGTACGTGTAGTCCTCCTGTCCATCCAGTGATTGGCTCCAAGTCATGTCAAATCAGAATCTCACATCCAGTAGAGGAATTATCAGACCACATTTTCACACTGGCTACTGAAACTATCCAATCAGATTTTTTCGAATCGGATTTTGACACGAGTGCAGTAATTATCGAATCAGATTTGTTTCTATGTCCCATCCAATCAGATTCTCACACTGGGTGCAGTTATTATCCAATCAGATTCTCACACTGGCTGCAGTTATTATCCAATCAGATTCTTACACTGGCTGCGGTAACTATCCAATCAGATTCTGGCTTGATGTCCTGTCCAATCAGATTCTCACACCAGCAACAGTAATCATCCATTCAGATTGTCTCACTGGCTACAGACATTACCCAATCAGATTCACATCTCAGTCACAGGAACTAAAAACATTTTGACTTGATGTCCTGTCCAATCAGAATCTGACACTGGAGGCAGTAGTTATCCAATCAAGTTCTGGCTTGCTGTCTTGTCCAATCAGAATCTGACACTGGAGGCAGTAGTTATCCAATCAAGTTCTGGCTTGCTGTCTTGTCCAATCAGAATCTGACACTGGATGCAGTAGTTATCCAATCAAGTTCTGGCTTGCTGTCTTGTCCAAACAGAATCTGACATTGGAGGCAGTAGTTATCCAATCATATTCTGGCTTGATGTCTTGTCCAATCAGAATCTGACACTGGAGGCAGTAGTCATCCAATCATATTCTGGCTTGATGTCTTGTCCAATCAGAATCTGACACTGGAGGCAGCAGTTATCCAATCATATTCTGGCTTGATGTCTTGTCCAATCAGAATCTGACACTGGAGGCAGTAGTCATCCAATCATATTCTGGCTTGATGTCTTGTCCAATCAGAATCTGACAATTGAGGCAGTAGTTATCCAATCAAACTCTGACTTGGTGTCCTGTCCAATCAGATTCTCACACTGTTGGCAGTAATTATCCAATCAAATGCTGCGGATGCATGTCGCTGATACAGCAATATATATGAAAATAGAAATGTTCACGGCAGCATACTTCTCACAGCAACCCCCAAGATGGTTTGCGTCTCACTGGCAAAACTATTAAATCTGTGATCCCTGTCATGATGAGTTCTGTTGGCTCTCTGTGGCTTCTAACATGGCCTTGAACTTGGAATCAGGCCTTGACATGAGCGCTGATGGTTTGTCAAACTCGGCAACCTGCAATCAGGCAGACACAACATGGCATGGTGAATATTTAAAGGCACAATGTCACACCACACTTTTCTAAAAAATAATGCATCTCTCTCAATAATACTAACTATCAGCCCTCAGGGAATAAAGTGTTGTCAAAGTCAGACATTATAATCAATGTCACTACACATTCAAAAGGGAAGTAACTCTTATCTCAAGCCAGGATTTGAGCCCACTATTCTACAACTGGGTGGCTCAGACGACTCGCACCCCTACCCCAACCAATCACTAAAACATGAATGGAAACATTCCTATCTCCGCTGCTGCTGACTAGAGGGCAATATTAATGTATTTTGAATTCCAGATAAATCCCCAGCACCCACTGAGTATAACTTGTTCTAGATAAATCCCCAACACCCACTGAGTATAACTTGTTCCAGATAGATCCCCAACACCCACTGAGTATAACTTGTTCCAGATAGATCCCCAACACCCACTGAGTATAACTTGTTCCAGATAGATCCCCACCAAACACTGAGTATAACTTGTTCCAGATAGATCCCCAACCCCAACACCCAACTTGAGTATAACTTGTTCTTGTCTGAGATAGATCCCCCAATCCCCAAACACTGAGTATAACTTGTTCCAGATAGATCCCCAACATGAACTGAGTATAACTTGTTCCAGATAGGATCCCCAACATGAGTATAACCCCAACCACCCACTAAAGGCATAACTTGTTCCCGGACAGATCCCCAACACCCACTGAGTATAACTTGTTCCAGATAGATCCCCCAACACCCACTGAGTATAACTTGTTCCAGATAGATCCCCAACACCCACGAGTATAACTTGTTCAAGATAAATCCCCAACACCAACTGAGTATAACTTGTTCCAGATAAATCCCCAACACCCACTGAGTATAACTTGTTCCAGATAGATCCCCAACACCCTCTTGAGTATAACTTTGTTCTGAGTATAAAGATAAATCCCTGGTATAACACCCTCTGAGTATAACTTGTTCCCCAACACCCCAGATCAAGATAAATCCCCAACACCTCTGAGTATAACTTGTTCCAGATAAACCCAACACCCACTAGTATAACTTGTTCCAGATAGATCCCCAACACCCACTGAGTATAACTTGTTCCAGATAAATCCCCAACACCCACTGAGTATAACTTGTTCCAGATAGATCCCCAACACCCACTGGAGTATAACTTGTTCCAGATAAATCCCCAACACCCACTGAGTATAACTTGTTCCAGATAGATCCCCAACACCCACTGAGTATAACTTGTTCAAGATAGATCCCCAACACCCACTGAGTATAACTTGTTCCAGATAAATCCCCAACACCCACTGAGTATAACTTGTTGCAGATAAATCCCCAACACCCACTGAGTATAACTTGTTCCAGATAGATCCCCAACACCCACTGAGTATAACTTGTTGCAGATAAATCCCCAGCACCCACTGAGTATAACTTGTTCCAGATAAATCCCCAACACCCACTGAGTATAACTTGTTCCAGATAAATCCCCAACACCCACTGAGTATAACTTGTTCCAGATAGATCCCCAACACCCACTGAGTATAACTTGTTGCAGATAAATCCCCAACACCCACTGAGTATAACTTGTTCCAGATAAATCCCCAACACCCACTGAGTATAACTTGTTCCAGATAAATCCCCAACACCCTCTGAGTATAACTTGTTCCAGATAAATCCCCAACACCCTCTGAGTATAACTTGTTGCAGATAAATCCCCAGCAACCACTGAGTATAACTTGTTCCAGATAAATCCCCAGCACCCACTGAGTATAACTTGTTCCAGATAAATCCCCAACACCCTCTGAGTATAACTTGTTGGTGCCTCACCTTGCCGTCCTCCATGACCATGATCCTGTCGCAGCTGAGGACGGTGTTCAGACGGTGAGCGATGATCAGCATGGTGCAGTCGGAGAACGCCTCTTTGATGGTTGTCTGCACCAGCGTGTCCGTCTCTCGTGTCGATAGCTGCCGTAGCTTCGTCCAGCATCAGGATCTGTCAGGGAATCAAACACTGGCTTCAGCTACATTCCAGGGGTTTTTGCTTTTTTTAACTTTTATATTACACTTACTTTAAAGATTTTTGTTTGACAATTTTGGTGGGTAGGTCAAAACACTAAAATATTTATAAAAAGCCTTTTTTGTTATTTTTAGAGTTCAGGGCCCCGTTTCACTAAGCTCTCGTAAGCCTAAGATCTCGTAACTTTTCTCGTAGCATTCGTACCTCCTATGCTCGTAACTTTTCTCGTAGGATTTGTACCTCCTATGTTACAGCATAGGAGGTACGAATGCTACGAGAAAAGTTACGAGATCTTAGGCTTACGAGAGCTTTGTGAAACTGGGCCCTGACATATCCAACATGTCTAATCAGCCTTTATCTCACCTTGCTGTGTCACAGCACACCACTGACTGTGTCATTTCTCACCATGCTGTGTCTCAACACATCGTATCTCTGTGTCATCTCTCACCTTGAGTGTGTCTCAGCACACCAATGCCTGTGTCAGGTCTCACCCCTGCCTGTGTGATGTCTCACCATGCTGTGCCTCACCACATCTTATCTCTGTGTCATCTCTTAAGTGTGTCTCAGCACACCCATGTGTCTCAGGTGTCTCACCCCTGCCTGTGTGATGTCTCACCATGCTGTGCCTCACCACATCTTATCTCTGTGTCATCTCTCACCTTAAGTGTGTGCACACACCAATACATGTGTCAGGTCTCATCTCCCCTGCCTGTGTGATGTCTCACCATGCTGTGACTCAACACATCATATCTCTGTGTCATCTCTCACCTTGAGTGTGTCTCAGCACAACAATGCCTGTGTCAGGTCTCACCCCTGCCTGTGTGATGTCTCACCATGCTGTGACTCAACACATCTTATCTCTGTGTCATCTCTCACCTTAAGTGTGTCTCTCAGTACACCAATACATGTGTCAGGTCTCACCCCTGCCTGTGTGATGTCTCACCATGCTGTGACTCAACACATCATATCTCTGTGTCATCTCTCACCATGAGTGTGTCTCAGCACAACAATGCCTGTGTCAGGTCTCACCCCTGCCTGTGTGATGTCTCACCATGCTGTGCCTCACCACATCTTATCTCTGTGTCATCTCTCACCTTAAGTGTGTCTCAGTACACCAATACATGTGTCAGGTCTCACCCCTGCCTGTGTGATGTCTCACCATGCTGTGCCTCACCACATCTTATCTCTGTGTCATCTCTCACCTTAAGTGTGTCTCAGCACACCAATACATGTGTCAGGTCTCACCCTGCCTGTGTGATGGATGTCTGACCATGCCAGCCTCACCACATCTTATCTCTGTGTCATCTCTCTCACCTTAAGTGTGTCTCAGCACACCAATGCCTGTGTCAGGTCTCATGTCTGCCTGTGTGATGTCTTCTGACCATGCTGTGTCTCAACACATCTTATCTCTGTGTCATCTCTCACCTTAAGTGTGTCTCAGTACACCAATACATGTGTCAGGTCTCACCCCTGCCTGTGTGATGTCTCTCACCATGCTGTGTCTCAACACATCTTATCTCTGTGTCACATCGTATCTCAGTGTGTCTCAGCACACATGTGTCAGGTCTCACCCCTGTGTCTCTGACCATGCTGTGTCTCAACCATCTTATCTCTGTGTCATCTCTCACCTTAAGTGTGTGTCTCAGCACACCTGCCTGCCTGTGTGATGTCTCACCATGCTGTGACTCAACACATCATATCTCTGTGTCATCTCTCACCATGAGTGTGTCTCAGCACAACAATGCCTGTGTCAGGTCTCACCCCTGCCTGTGTCATGTCTCACCCCTGCCTGTGTGATGTCTCACCATGCTGTGCCTCACCACACCCATGCCTGTGTCATGTCTCACCCTCCCTGTGTCATGTCTCATTCCTGCCTGTGTCATGTCTCACCCCTGCCTGTGTCATGTCTCACCTTGCTGTGTCTTAGCAGAGCCCGAGCCAGACAGAGGAGTTGTCGTTCTCCCACTGAGAAGTTTTCTCCATTCTCAACAACCATGGCTTCAAGCTTTTCATCAAGGTTTGCTATCTGCAAAAGACCAGAGTACAAAAAAATGACTCACTTGTCAACATTTACAAAAATAATTTGAACAAAATTACAACTATCTTAAACTGAAGGACAGGGGCTGTCCTAATTAGGGTGCCACTGAGAGGAAAGTCTAGTATTAATGTATCAAATCGTAATATATGAGTTATAGTGCTGTAACGATGCATCAAACTATCGATGGATTACAATTGTTGAGTCTCCCATACCAATTGATCGATGGTAGAAACGAAAAACTATCCATGCATTGATAGTATGTGTGATTATCCATAGTTTAGCAATTGACTTCTGTTGATAAATGCATTCACTTTGAGTAAGAGTTATCCGCCCCCTGTTACCTCTTAAACAAACATGGCAGCAAACACGGCATGTGACTCAGAGTTTGAAATTGTGAATAACAATAAGTTTATGTTTGAGCTGTTTACTTGATTACTTATAAGTTTCTTGTCAGTTATTAAAAGAGACTGAAACTACTTCAGCTTGTTTCTATTTCATATGAACTATACATTCCTTTGGAAATGACTTCAAATGAGACAATTCCAGGAGAAAAATCTATTGCAGTAGTATTGCAATAGTTGGTTGCAATAGACTATCGCTATCGCAATAGTTGTTTCCCCCTCAATAGTCACCCCAAAGAGTTAATATAATCAGTTAATCTGCAGTTAAACAACTTCACTCAATATCAAAATTGGCTGATCCATTGAATGTTTAAAATTAAATTTTCGGCCTTACTATTGTCTATCTTAACATAGGTGATCTTAACAAACATCACCGTTTCCGTGTCTATGAATCTGTAGTGAGTGAGTGAGTGAGTTTGGTTTTACGCCGCTTTTAGCAATATTCCAGCTATATCACGGCGGGGGACACCAGAAATGAGCTTCACACAATGTACCCATGTGGGGATTATGAATCTGTATCATCAAAGTATAACTTAATAAGTTAGAAAGTCATTATATACAGTGAAATCCCTACTTTTTCATAGGTACAAATGCTTTGAGATGGTACAATTTACCACTGGCCCAGTGGGGAATAACATGTGAAGTCCATTCAAGGTAACCCGCCTCTCCTTACAACCATGGTAACAGTGAGTGAGTCAGAAGGGATTTACACCACTTTTAGCAATATTCCAGCAATATCATGGCCAGGGACACCAGAAATCGGCTTCACACATTGTACCCATGTCGGGAATCGAACCTGGGCCTTCGGCGTGATGAGCGAACGCTTTAACTGCTGGGTTACCACACTGCCCTTACCATGGCAACAAACTGATCTGCCCTGACCTCAGTCGATCAGCTAGTGTTGGGAATTGGTTAAAATCTCATAATTGATGATTGGTTCATTACAACCGATCAATCATCGAAAATAATTGGTAAGCATCATTTATCAAATGTTCCTGTTATCTTTGTTAATGCACACACAAAAATAAAGAAAAAAACATGTAGTAATTTGGGTCTTTTGCAAATTGCACAAAATCCATTGGCAAATTTCGCATATTTAAAGGATGATTAGTATGTTAGGAACACAGATTTCCTGGATTTTTTAAGATAAATTCAACCATGACTTGGAACGAGTTTGTAGTGCTTATGAAATGTAAATTTAATGACACAGACAAAACCAACCTTGTGTAAAATATTGTTGATGCAAACAAGTGTTCCAAAATTGGTTGTGTTCGATTATGAGAAAACACAATCGATTGCTTGGTCGTTTAGGCACTGCGACCAATCTTCAATTATTTCAATTAATCGGACCACCACTACAGTCAGTTACTGATTCCAAGGATATACTGCTGATGGTAAGGGAAGGTCACTCACCGTGTCTTTGACGTGGCACTTCTGAAGGGCATCCCACAGTGACACCTCAGCATGCTCACTGAACGGGTCGAGATTATATCTGAAAAAACACGCGAAACTCAAGGATATCTTGCTATAGGAGTACACATGTACAAAATCTACCAGTGCAATTATTTCAAACTGACAACTATCTTTGTCTTGTGTCGCCTGTAAATATCGGGGTTAGAACTGATCTGCAGCAACCAAGCTTGACATAAGAGTGAGTGAGGGAGTGTGTTTAGTTTTACGCCGCACTCAGCAATATTCCAGCTATTTGGCGGCTTTCTGTGAATAATTGAGTCTGGACCAGACAATCCAGTAATCAGCAGCATGAGCATCGATCTGCGCAACTGGGAACCGTTGTCAACCAAGTCAGCGAGTCTGGCCACCCGATCCCGTTAGTCGCCTCTTACGACAAGCATGGGTGACTGAAGATCAATATTCTAACCCGGAGCTTCACGGGTCTTGACATAAGAGACAACTGACGGGAATGAATTTGGTTGACACATGCTATTGTATATGAGTTGCGTAGATCAATGCTTATGTTGTTGATCACCGGATTGTCTGGTCCAGATTCCTAACATACAGACCACTGCCATATAGCAGAAATATTGCTGGGTGCAGCATTAAACAACAGAGTAAGTTCAAAACGATGTGTTGATGGCCATCACAGATGTTCCTGTGGTCAAACATGCAAGAAATATTGGCCACGTTCCTGTGGTCAAACATGCAAGAAATATTGGCCATGTTCCTGTGGTCAAACATGCAAGAAATGTTGGCTTGTTCCTGTGGTCAACATGTAAGAAATGTTGGCTTGTTCCTGTGGTCAAACATGCAAGAAATGTTGGCCATGTTCCTGTGGTCAAACATACAAGAAATGTTGGCTTGTTGCTCCTTGATCAGAACACTGGCTGGAACCTTGGATAAAGGTATCATGTGTATCAATAGGTGATTGCAGAACAACGAATGTGTGGAGTGGAAATGTTGTGGAGGGGAGACAACTTCATTTCAAGGGGAGATAATCACCTGACTGTTCCAACAAAGAGAACAGGATCCTGAGGAATGATGGCCAGTTTGGACCTCAGATTGTAGTGAGACACCTTGCTGATGTCGATGCCATCGATGATGATTGTCCCTGAAGCTGCCTCCACTAGGCGGAACAAAGCCACTCCGAGAGACGACTTCCCTGAAGATAAAAGACACAACACTACAGTGTGCATGTTAATTGGTTGGTTCCTTTGTTGTTTTACGCCACACTCAACAATATTCCAGCTATATGGCAGCAGTCTGTAAATAATCGAGTCTGGACCAGACAATCCAGTGATCAACATCATGAGCATCGATCTACGCAACTGGGATATGATGATGTGTTAACCAAGTAGGCAAGTCTGACCACCCAGTCCCGTTAGTCGCCTTTTACGACAAGCATGGGTTACAAAAGACCAATTTTAACCCGGATCTTCACAGGTCTTGACAACAAGACAACCAGAATGTTTGTCATATATCAGCCATCCAGAGAAACAGCTACAAGCTTGGGATGGGGACTGATCAAGACAACTTTTATAGAAATTATACATCCTGGTTACCTATGTATAAGTTTCAACACCAAACCAAAAATTAAAGTCTGTGCCGAAAAGTTTTGCTTCCACAAACCTGTACATGTCTCTCAGCATCATTGAAGGTGAGGTGACAAGGGGTTTAACGTCGTACTTGAGAATATTTCGCTCATATGACGACGTGCATGGGTGTGTATGTGTATGTGCATCTGCTTGTACTAGCCCAGACTGAAGCTGGTTTTATAGTGCTAGCTCACTGAGAGTTAAGCATGAATACCCCACTCAGACACAGTATACTGACTCTGAGCCGACCAGTCCTTGTTGTAGCCATTAATGCCGAGCGTCAGGCAGGGACCAACAAGTGCCATATTTTAACGTCTTTTGGTATGACACGGCCGGGGATCGAACCTGCGACCTTCCGCTCTCCGGTCAGCATCATTGAAACGAGGAGCAGATGTTACTGTTACTACATGTACTCTTACTAGCTTAGCTTATTTAAATGAAAAACATTCATTCACTTAGACTTTGGGTTAAGTGTTTAAGTTGCAGGCTAATTAAAAAATTGCTTCAACAATGCAAGTCCAGGTTCTATTCCTGGCATGGTTTACCTGAGCCTGATCTTCCTACAATGCCTATTTTCTCCTGCGGTTCCACAGAGAATGATACACCTTTCAGGGCTAAAGGCATTCCTTCTCGGTACCGCATCCGTAACCGATTGTAAACGATTCTGCCCTCAGCCGGCCAATCCGTGGAGGGCTCGGTGTCGGACACAGTCATGAGATCGTCGGAGGATGTATCCTGTCAGGAAATAACTCAGTTATCTACCAGAAAATTGGATAATAGTAATAATTAGTTATTCATATAGAGCTTGTTTTGCGTCCATGAAAGTCTGCTTAAAGGTCCGCTTTTGCGGGAAACAGCTGAATACAAAGGGTATTCAGTTGTATTCAAAACTGAAGACGTGAATTTTCAAGCCAGTCTTAAAGTCTGATAATTCCTGAATGTGTCTGAGCTTGTCTTGAAGGGAATTCCAGAATACTGAACCAGCTCTTGAGAAGGTTCTGCCACCATAGGAGCTGGAGCAGAATTTTGGTATAGACAACAAATTTTGGTTGCTAGATTGTACAGATCAAGGTGGACGTGATCTGTTATAAGGCCACAGATGTTTGATGGTGCCAGTTCATGCTTTGCTTTGAAGATCAGTGTTAGGATCTCAAACTGAAGTCTAAAATGGATGATATCACAATAAAGACATGGAAATAAGCATTGTTTCAAGAACTGTTTCAATCTATTCAGATCTTCATGCACAGGTATGGTCTCAGACTGAAAGATCTGACTTAAGCGAGTGAACAGGGAGATTGGGTTGTATACTTCACTGGGAGTTGAGAATGAATTGTGTGATGACAATGATCCAATAATTTGTTAACAAAACGTAGCATTCTCAAAACAGGTTTTAGACTCATAGAAAAAACTAACTGGTGATCCTTTGTATAGTGAGTGAGTGAGTTTAGTTTCCCACCGCTTTTAGCAATATTCCAGCAATATCACAGCAGGGGACACCAGAAAAGGGATTCATATAATGTAACCATGTGACGAACCACTAGGCTACCCAACTGCCCCTCCTTGTATAGGATCAATATCCTAATGATAATAATAAAAGAGTTCCCACCTTGGCATACTCCTGTATTCGTTGTACAGAGGTGAAGCGAGACTCTGTCTCGATAGCAAGCCTCACTGTGAACTGGAACAGTCCAGTCATCTGAAAATATAACAATGATGTCAATGGATGCTAATCCAATCCTACTAATAGAAAAAATAATAATAGTAGTTAGAGGTGTAACACTATAATGGGATGCATGGAGAGAGAGGGAGGGAGGGAGGGAGGGAGGGAGAGAGACACGGCGACAAACACCAGAAATGAGCTTCACACTTTGTACCCATGTGGGAAATTGAAGCCAGGTCTTTGCCATGACGAGCAAACGCTCTAAACACTAGGCTACCCCCTCCGCTATTGTATGGGGAGAAACATATAAACTAGGGGCACTACACAGATTCTGCTGTTTATAGCTGACCAAGACTTGATAAATACAAACATTGTTTATTCACATATTGCTCAATATGGCTTTCTGCATTTTCAGCCAATTCCTGTTCAAAAGTTGTTTATTATCGCTTCCATGAGAGGGACACCAGAAATGGGCTTCACAAATTGTACCCATGTGGGGAATCAACCTGGGTGGCGTGATAAGCGAACGTTTTAACCGCTAGGCTACGCCATCGCCCCTCGTTTCCATGAAGTATAATTGTGAAGTTGGAGTGGTGAGAACATCAAAAAAACTTTAAGCATGCAATCACTTCACATCAGGACATCCGATGTACCGATAAAAAAGAACATAAATTGGACATAAACACCTATTTTTTCAATGCTGTAGCTAGTGGTCTCACCTGCACAGCAAATGAGAGGGCAAGTCCAGCTAGTGCTGGTGTGATGTTGTCGTAGTTGAAGACGATGATGAGGCCTGTTGCGCCGCTGATGCAGACGCAGAGGAGGTCAAGCCGCACAGACAGCCAGCGACTTGCTGAGTAGAAGACAAAGAAAGGGACGGAATTGATATCTAGCAGTTTCTGGAACCTGAAAAGAAATTTACACGTTCACCATAAAATATTGATGCCTGGGTGTTTCACAGTGTCTACTGATCACATCAAGGTTAACATTGTTAACATCACATTGTCAACGTTATCATCACATTGTCAACATCACAGTCAGAATCCATTGCACGTATAAACAACAAACAAACAAACAAAATCAAATAGCCCAAAACAACACCTCCAGCCGTAAAATGAGTGAGTTCAGTTTTAAGCTGCTTTTAGCAATATTCCAGCAATAATCCAGCAATATATAGTAGGGGCTAGTGTTGGGTTTTGGTTAAAATCCCATAATTGATGATTGGCTCATTACCACGATCAATCATCGAAAATAATTGGTCAGCGTCATTTATGAAATTTTCCTGGTTATTTTCGCTTGCGCAGAAACAAAAAGAAAAAACCATGTAGTTCTTTGATTTTTTTTTTGCAAATTGCACATCTTTAAAGGATGACTAGTATGTTAGGAACATTAATTTCTTGGAGTCTCTAAGATAAATTCAATCATGACTTGGAACGAGCTTGTAGTGGTTATGAAATGTAACAGACAAAACCAACCTTGAAAAACATTGTTAATGCAAAAAGTTTTTCAGAATTGTTTGTGTTCGATTATGAGAAAACATGATCGATTGCTTGGTCGTTTAGTCACTGCGACCAATCTTCGATTATTTCAATTAATCGGACCACCACAAGTAGGGGCTTCACACTTTGTACCCATGTGAGGAATTGAACCCAGACCTTCGGCGTGACAAGCAAACACCAGGCTACCCCACTGTCCCAGTTTAGTTATGGACGCTATGGCTTGTGTTAGTGTGGGTCTGCCTGTTTGTTTGTTATTTTACGCCGCACTCAGCAATATTCCAGCTATATGGTGGGGGCCTGTAAATAACCAAGTCTGGACCAGACAATCCAGTGATCAACAGCATGAGCAACAATCTACGCAAATGGGAACCGATGACATGTATCCACCAAGTCAGCAAGCCTGACCACCCGATCCCGTCAGTCGCCTCTTACGACAAGCATGGGCTGCTGAAGACCAATTCTAACCCGGATCTTCACGGGTAGGTCTGCTTGAACTAATCCAGATTAATCCAAATGCCAGTGTAAAAGTGCTAGCCCACTGACATACCATGCCCCAGTTTTACAAAGACGCCCCATTCTGATACAGTATCTGACTCTTTGCTAACAAGAACATGTTTTATACGGAGCGATGGTAAAACGGCAGTTAAGCACTTTTCTTCTGACATGATTAAATTCAGGCACTTTTCCAATCAGATTGAAAATGGATCTATCATTATTTTACCAATGCCACTCCAACACAAGGAATCGCGAAGGAGCCATTATTGCTTTACAAATGCCCTTCTAAAACAAGGAATCACGCAGACTGCTCAACCTACTTACTTTGTTACGAATTCCTCTATCTTGCCATATGCATGGATGGTGGATATTCCTTGGACGGAGGCTGTGATGTGACTGACCAGCGGAGACTTGGTAACAGCGTCCATACGCTTCAAGTTGCGGGCACAGCGAACAAACATCACAAACAGGCAGCCAAATACTGCGATGAGCGGTATCATGGCAACCAGAAACCATGGCGACATGTAGCAGATCATCAAGAGGGAGAAGACAACTTGCAGGACGTTGTTGATGAATACTTCTGATTGCATGGGAAGACGAATGTCCACTGAAACATTTAATGATTTGTTATTTCTTATATTGTAATGACAATAATTATACTGGCTATTTATAAAGGGACTGTTTCCACGCACTTGTGCATGCTCAAAGCGCTAACTCATTATTACCCTGGATAACCCAAGCTGCCTGTTACGCGCTAGAAGGTTATAGTCACATGACTTATCCCATCAGTTACCCATTTTCTGCTGGATGAACAGAGGCAATTTTTAACAAACTCACTTGCCTAAGGTGAGACCACATGTATCACATGTGCTTCGTTGTGGGGCAGGACTGAAGTCCTAGTAACTCTCAGGAGTCAATATATAATTCATCCTCCAATTAATGAAAAAGTTACTGTTTTGATCAGTCACGTGCTTCAATGGGAAATCCCTTCCTGGAAGAGTCTCTTGAACTGATGTTCAAAGAAGTGCATTTGTAAATCTTCTCAACTTCTATGCACATCGCTCTGTAACTTCAATGGGAACTGTTAAAGGAGACTTCAGAATCACAGAGATCGATGTTTGACAAATTGATGTCCTGTGACTGATCAAAGCAGTAACTTTTTCATTAATTGGATGATGAATTGTATATTTTACTACTAGACATAAATCTTGTTTGTTATATTTCTTGAAAGTATTAAAAATAGCCCTTTGAACGGCGAATATATCTCACATATTGCAACAAATGAATATTTTTTTATAGTCTGCGACCATTCTGTGTGGACTTCAGCACTCTTTGATTTTTGGTGGCCATCTTGGATTTTGGGGAAAATAGGCCCAAACATTCGAGCACACTCCAAAAACATGCTTTATCATGATGTTCCCTAGCACTGTGCAAGGTTTTCTGCTTTAATCCAGCGGGGTAAAGTCACAATAGTGTTAGAATTGGAAATCCTTGCGTTTAGGGGGCCATCTTGGACGCCATCTTGGATTTTTTGGAAAATGGGCCCATAAAACCAGGCACACCCCAAAAATGTTTTATCATTATGTTCCCAAGCATTGTGCAAGGTTTTCTGCTATAATCCAGCGGGGGGAACTTCATATAGTCTTAAAATTGGAAATCCTGGATTTTTGGCGGCCATCTTGATTTTTTCAGGAAATGTGCCTCAAAAATCGGGCACCCCCCAAAATATGTTTTATCATGATATTCCCCAGCACTATGCAAAGTTTCATGCTTTAGTCCGCCAAGTATCTATTTTCACCCTAAGCCACTGAACTGTAAGGGACAATACTCTTCAAATATCAAGTTAAACACTCAATCCTGTCCTTTCAATACTTGGGCTTCCATGGAAAGTAATCTCCTTAAACCTGTTCTTCCTCACCTTCGTCCATATCAGCCGAGAACCTGTTGACGATCCGACCAGTAGGGGTGGTATCAAAAAACTCCATGGGGCTGTCTAGTATGTGTGTGAATGCCCGGTCATGGAGGCCACTCGAGGCCTTGAGTGTAGCCTGCAAACATCAGCGAAGCAGTGGAGGTTGTTCGTCCGGAGGTATGTTAGCAAATATTCTCACTAGGTAATTGAGGCCTGTTAATAATCGTAATTAAACCCAGGGAGCTTAACTTCCATTGTACTGTAAAACTTTAACCATTTAGTGTGATGGGAACTTTAATCATCTAGTGTGTGTACAACTGAGAGCTTTAATCATCTAGTGTGTGTACAACTGGGAACTTTAATCATCTAGTATGTGTACAACTGAGAGCTTTAACCATCTAGTGTGTGTACAACTGAGAGCTTTAATCATCTAGTGTGTGCAACAGAGAGCTTTAATCATCTAGTGTGTGTACAACTGGGAACTTTAATCATCTAGTGTGATGGGAACTTTAATCATCTAGTGTGTGCAACAGAGAGCTTTAACCATCTAGTGTGTGTACAACTGGGAACTTTAATCATCTAGTGTGTGTACAACTGAGAGCTTTAATCATCTAGTGTGTGTACAACTGAGCTTTAACCATTTAGTGTGTGCAACAGAGAGCTTTAACCATCTAGTGTGTGTACAACTGGGAACTTTAATCATCTAGTGTGTGTACAACTGAGAGCTTTAATCATCTAGTGTGTGTACAACTGAGAGCTTTAATCATCTAGTGTGTGCAACAGAAAGCTTTAATCATCTAGTGTGTGTACAACTGGGAACTTTAATCATCTAGTGTGATGGGAACTTTAATCATCTAGTGTGTGCAACAGAGAGCTTTAACCATCTAGTGTGTGTATAACTGGGAACTTTAATCATCTAGTGTGTGTACAACTGAGAGCTTTAATCATCTAGTGTGTGTACAACTGGGAACTTTAATCATCTAGTATGTGTGCAACTGAGAGCTTTAACCATCTAGTGTGTGTACAACTGGGAACTTTAATCATCTAGTGTGTGTACAACTGAGAGCTTTAATCATCTAGTGTGTGTACAACTGAGAGCTTTAATCATCTAGTGTGTGCAACAGAGCTTTAACCATCTAGTGTGTGTACAACTGATAGCTTTAATCATCTAGTGTGTGTACAACTGAGAGCTTTATTCATCTAGTGTGTGTACAACTGAGCCTTAATCATCGAGTGTACAACTGGGAACTTTAATCATCTAGTGGGTGTACAACTGAGAGCTTTAATCATCTAGTGGGTGTACAACTGGGAACTTTAATCATCTAGTGGGTGTACAACTGAGAGCTTTAATCATCTAGTGTGTGTACAACTGAGAGCTTTAATCATCTAGTGTGTGTACAACTGAGAGCTTTACTCCTTTAGAGTGAGTGAGTGAGTATGGTTTTATGCCACTTTTAGCAATATTCTAGCAATATTGGCGGCTGGGGACACCAGAAATGGGATTCACAAATCCTTTAGAGCATGTACAACTGGACACTTTAGTACTCTTGTGTGTAGAACTATAATATACAATTTGCAGAATCGACATGTAAAGGTTAACTATCACAAGGTTAACTGCCACAAAGTTAATGCTTACCTTCATGAAGACGAAGGCCCGGCAGAAATTGAGCGACAACATCACCACCATAAACATCCCATAGATGAGGGTGAAGGTGTTCTGCAATGGGTGCTCATTGATCTTCCCGTTGTTACTGGACATGGTCACGTTGTCCACGGTGACCACTGTATTATTCTGCAACAAGATAAATAAAGTTTTATCTCTAAGGTAAACAAATGTCACAGTTTTCAAAACACAGCAATTCAAGTTACCACCAAGCTTTTCACTCTCATGCATATGCTTGAACTTAGTTTGTTGTTTTTTCAATAGCGCACTCATCATGCCCTTAAAAACATTATAGAAATGGTCCAGACTCACCTGGAGTTCTTGAGTATTGACAGTGAGTGAGTGAGTGAGTGAGTGAGCAGAGCCTGATCAGATTCTGTGAGTGAGTGAGTGAGCAGAGCCTGATCAGATTCTGTGAGTGAGTGAGTGAGTGAGCAGAGCCTGATCAGCTTCTGTGAGTGAGTGAGTGAGTGAGCAGAGCCTGATCAGATTCTGTGAGTGAGTGAGTGAGTGAGCAGAGCCTGATCAGATTCTGTGAGTGAGTGAGTTAGTGAGTGAGCAGAGCCTGATCAGATTCTGTGAGTGAATGAGTGAGCAGAGCCTGATCAGATGCTGTGAGTGAGTGAGTGAGTGATGAGCGAGCCTGATCAGATGCTGTCTATCCACTACATCACAAAGGTGGCCCCACCTACAGCAATATCAATATCTGGTACGTACACCATTGCCTTGGTTCAGCCAGTAGGCGAGAAACCAGTTTGCGCCCGTCTGGGAGGCCACGGCCAGGAAGAAGACAGCAAACACACCAAAACAGACGAGACATCCTCCACCGTCTTGCATATACTGGCGATACACCGCCATGGCAATGGTCCCTGTGCTTCTCTCCTCAGCAACAATCAACTTCCCATCTGAGAAGTAAACATGAACTCATCATAAAACCAAATATTGTGTTGGTCCAGTCTGTGTCTAAAATGTGTACTTTCCTGAACATTCTCAGCTTTATTTTCAGTATATTCTAGTGTTAACACTGCAATGCTACAAGGTATTTGTTTGCTTGCTTGTGTGTTGTTTTACGCCGCACTCAGCAATATTCCAGCTATATGGTGGCAGTCTGTAAATAATCAAGTCTGAACCAGACAATCCAGTGATAAATATCATGAACATCACTATACACCACTTGAATAATTATTATATTTATTATTATGGGATATTTATAAAGCGCACATATCCACTCACTAGTGCATGCTCAAGGCGCTGGTAGTTTTTCCCTCGATCATTGGATGTCAATCTCAATTTCAACTCCCTGGGGAGCATACAACTCTTGCAGCCACTAGGCGCACCGAGTTATTGCGGCTTTCCCATCCGTACGAGGTACCCATTCACAGCTGGGTGGACTGGGACACATAGTCACAGTATTTTGTCCACGTTTACTGGACGTTGCTATACCCGCAACTTCTACTCGCAACTAGGTGTTTGCATGTACTGTCAAATCCCGATGAGTCGAATGCCGTTGTCTAGAATATTATGCATAACTCGAAGTACCTGTCGGTCCCGACCATTCCCTGTTATAGTTGTCATCATTTGATTTCCGGTTACGCGAATTCGTATCATAAATACACACGATGATTGGAGAAGGAAATTGGTCCCATGAGATTCAAACAACAGCAATCTTGTATACATAAGCCGAAGTCAGTCAATGTATACAAGATTGCTGTTGTTTGAATCTCATGGGACCAAATTTCCTTCTCGAGTCATCGTGTGTATTTATGATATGAATTCGCGTAACCGGAAATCAAATGATGACAACGATAACAGGGAATGGTCGGGACGTTGATTGGTGTAGCAAACTGATCCAATTAACAAACCAGCGCGGTTCACACCTTTCCGCCGTTGACGGGTGAGTTCAAAAGGCAGATTAGTGACTTTACGGAAATCACTGTCTGTGCTAATCAGACTTGAACTGATAAGGTGCCCCTATTAGTGATAGGGAAATCATTAGATAAACAAATGCTTAGGCGGAGGAATTAGGACTGCATCATCTTTTTTTCTACCCTAATAGACATAAAAATGTCTCTCATCGATAAGTCGAATTTATTCCTTGGTCCCTAGAGATTCGACTAATCGGGATTTGACTGTATATTCATGTGAGATGGCATGTGTCAACCAAGTCAGTGAGCCTGACTACCTGATCTTGTCAGTCGCCTCTTACAACAAGCATGGGTTGCTGGAGACCAATTTTAACCCGGATCTTCATCTATTTTTAAAAGACAAGAAACATGTGTATTTTAATTCTCACCTCCATCACCATCACCGGAGCTGCTTGAGGACAACCTACTTAACTGTCTCTCCACCCTCACGCCGGGACCCCCAGAGAACATCTCTGGCTGGGGCTTCTCCACTGCTGCACCCCGTGAGAACAACCTCTCTAAGGTGGGAGGTGCAGGAGCCATCCCAGCACCCCGTGAGAACATTCTCTCCAAGGGGGCTGCTTGTTTGTGTGATATAGGGGATATGTTCCCCATCCCAGCCCCTCTAGAAAACAGTCTCTCAAGTGGCGGTGGGGGTTTACCAACTGGAGTGCTCTCCCCTGGAAGTGCATTGGCGGACTTGTCTTTGTGAATGTTAGATGATGACAGTGAAGACAATCTCCCTGGAAAAGAGTAAATAATGTTTGCATTCTGAACAATAGGAAAGCATAAAGTAAGGTATGGATGTACAACTTCTTTATTATTTACAACACAACATTTCTGGGCTAGAAAGGGCAAGAAGTATCCCAGAATGGCATTCACCTGATGAAGGGGCAAGAAGAAGCCTTATAAACCTCCTGTGATGTCACTCTATTGTCTCGCCAGGTTCTCGTTTTACCAAGTAAACCTTCTACATGCAGTTTCGCTGACATTCTTCAAGAAATCCCGGGGATTTTCTACAGAATTACCCACAGACCAGGGATTTTCTGAAGAATAGCCCTTGACTTTGAATGATTTTACTTGTTTTGAAGATTGATAACTTTGCAATTAATGAATATGATCGTAAAATATCACATTATTGAAAACTTCCAATATATTGTGCCACTGCCTGGTTTCGAACCTGCAACCCTTCGCTTACTGGCTTGGCGGTTTTATCCACTAGGCTACAAAGGATCGCTGTGAAGAATGAGATTGTTTGTCAGTATGAACCATGTGTTCCTCATAAGATGGGTAGAACGGACAGCACACATGCAATGTGCGTGCAAGGCAAGGTATCAGCTGGTAGTCGCATCCCAGCTGATTTCAACAGTAAATACCAAATAATAAAATTATATCTGAAGTATATCTTCGGTCAGTTCATAAGTTGGATAAAAAAACCTCTTCCTCGGTTTTGTTTGAAATATTAAGCCCTTGGACTCAGGAAATCAGGAAATACTTTTTCAAACAAAACCGAGGAGAAGGTTTTGATCCTTCACCAGAAAATCCGTAACCATATGTTGTTGTTACCTTTCAACTTCTAAATGGCCATCAAGAACATGAACGCATTTCCTGTGAAAGTTTCAAGCATCAACATGACAGAAGTTAAACATAAGAAAGTCTCTCTTAAACGCTTAATATTCTTATAAATTCTAGTGGTGATGGGTAGCCTTGTGGTTAAAGCGGCCACTCACCATGCCAATGACACAGGTTTGATTCCCTACATAGGTACAATATGTGAAACCAAGGTGTTCCCAGCATGTTATTGCTGGTTCAGTGGAATCTGTCTATTAGACTGGTGCGGGACCAATTCATTTGTCCAGATTATAAAGCAGTCCAGATTAGTCAACTTTTGTGCATTACCGTAGACACTGCCATGATGAGTTACCTCCCTTTGTTAAGGACAACGGTAATTGTACTCAAAATGTTTAAAAAAGAATGTTTATATTAACTGCAGTGAAATCGTGTGCCCCTCTGATATTTTTAACTTCAGCCTGCATTATTCACAGCAATCCCCTTCTACAAACTGCTCTGTTTGGTCCTCAAAATTCAGTGTATCTACGATAATAAACGAAATGTTCTTTTCAAAAAGCTGACGGTAATATTCACTTCGCTTCAAAATGTATGTAGTCTCCCTGAGAACAGAAGTAACAGAGATGTTTATTTAATGGATTGTTATTTTAGTCCGGATTACAAAGCATGTTCTCATAGCAAGCTGATTGTCGGGACTGTTAATTTAGTCCGAAGTCCGTAATTGAGAGAGTCCAGATTATAAAACAAGCTTTAATGATAAATTAAGAACAATTTTGCCTGGACTCAGAGAGTAGTCCGGATTATGTGCGAAAACCGGTTTACAAAGAGTCCAGATTTGACAGATTCCACTGTATATAGCTAAAAGCAGTGTAATACTCCACTCTCTCAGTAATGAATACCAGCATAACTCCACATCTAACACCCTTATTTGATAAAATCTCCTGCCAACTGGTATGACATACATGACACTCTGCACTGACCTTCAGGTACAATGTCAGCCTCTTCGTCCTCCTCCATCTGCTCAGAGTAGTACATCTTTATCAGCCCGGCATACTCCCCGTCCAGCTGCATCAGCTCGCCATGGGTGCCCTTCTCCTCTATCTGGCCATCCTTCAGGAACATCACCTCGTCACAGTGAACCAGGTACTGGAAGTACAATGAGAATACTGAACAAGGGTACAGACAGTCCCCGACACAAGAGTACAGTCTGTCCAGGGAACCAGGTATTGGAAGTACAATGAGAATACTGAACAAGGGTACAGACAGTCCCCGACACCAGAGTACAGTCTATCCAGGGAACCAGGTACTGGAAGTACAATGAGAATACTGAACACGGGTACAGACAGTCCCCGACACCAGAGTACAGTCTGTCCAGGGAACCAGGTATTGGAAGTACAATGAGAATACTGAACAAGAGTATGGAACCTTGAGATGTCTGGAGTACAGTCTGTCCAGGGAACCGAAGTACACTAAGCACAGTCAACACAGACAGCACAGTACAATATGAATACTGAGCAAGAGTACAGACAGTTCCGGACACCAGAGTACAGTCTGTCCAGGGAACCACAGTGAGTCAGTACTGACAAACAGCAGGGGCGGATACAGCTTTTAGAGAAAGGGGGGTGCACAGTTCATTTTCACCTGTTTTTACAAGAGTTTCAATGGTCATTTAATAAACTTTCTGCACTCACCTTTGGACTAATGACAGACTCACCTGAAGCTGATGTGTTGTTAATTAATGACAGGTGAGGTGAGGTGAAATTGGGTTTAACGTCGTACTTGAGAATATTTCGCTCATATAACGACGTGCATGCGTGTATATGTGTATGTGCGGCTGCTTGTACTAGCGCAGACTTAAGCTGGTTTTATAGTGCTAGCCCACTGAGATACCATGCCGCAGTGAAGCATGAATACCCCACTCAGACACATTATGCTGACTCCGAGCCGACCAGTCCTTGTTGTACCCAGTAATGCCGAGAGCCAGGCAGGGACCAACAAGTACCATATTTTAACGTCTTTTTGTATGACGCGGTCGGGGATCGAACCCGCGACCTTCCGCTCTCCGGGCAGACGCTCTAACCACTACACCACGGAGGCGGTGATTAATGACAGACTCACCTGAAGCTGATGTCTATTATTAATGACAGACTCACCTGCAGTTGGTGAGTTATGACAGTCTCACCTGGAGTTGGTGAGTAGTAAAAGACTCACCTGGAGTTGGTGAGTGACAAACAGCACAGTCTTCCCCTTCAATAACTTCAGAAGAACTTCTGTGGCTATGTGATGCCCGACATGGACGTCAACGGCAGACAGAGGGTCGTCCAGCAGGTAGATCTCACTGTCACTGTACACAGCTCGAGCCATACTGATCCGTTGCTTCTGACCTCCACTCAGGTTGAGACCCCGCTCTCCAATCTGGGGAAGGTGAGAGTGAGTTTGTAAATAGGAATACAGTTACTTAGTAGAAATGGTTTCTAGCAATATTCAAACATAATTATGGTTGGGAAGAGGAAAACATTGTAGCCATGTGGAGAATTGAACCCAGGCTTAAGGTGAGATGACTGAATGCCTTAACCTCTCGGCCAAAAATCCAAAATGAGCGAGTGAGTGAGTATGGTTTTACATAACTTTTAGCCATATTCCAGCAATATCACGGCAGGTGACATCAGAAACAGACATCACACATTTTACATTTCACCCAAGTGGGGAATCGAACCCAGGTCTTGATGGCGTGACGAGCGAACACTTTAGCCACTAGGCTATTATAATTCAAATAGACATCAAATCTTAGCAAGAAAATCCAGTATGCTATAGCAGTAACAACAATCAACATTCTCAACAATTATGACAGACAATCAGTGACACAGAGCAACCTGATTCCAGTAAGAGCACTGGACTGCTCCAGGCCCCGATTTCTTGAGTGAGTGAGTGAGTGAGTTTAGTTTTACGCCGCACTCAGCAATATTCCAGCTATATGGCGGCGGTCTGTAAATAATCGAGTCTGGACCAGACAATCCAGTGATCAACAGCATGAGCATCGATCTGCGTAATTGGGAACCGATGACATGTGTCAACCAAGTCAGCGAAACTGACCACCCGATCCCGTTAGTCGCCTCTTACGACAAGATAGTCGCCTTTTTATGGCAAGCACATGGGTTGCTGAAGACCTATTCTACCCCGGATCTTCACGGGTCCCCGATTTCTTGAAACTAACAGTTTTTACTCAAATTTCAAACTGAGTTTGACAATTTGAAACAGCTGAATATTTAACTCAACTGCCTTTTTAAAATACAAAAGCCCAAAACAGCTTAAGTAATCTATCCACCAAACTCAAATTGTCTACTATGTTTGAGTTTCATATCGATTTCAGTTCATTCTGGGAATGCATTTTCCTGTGTTTTCTCAAATTTGAGTAAAAACTCTAACTTAAGTCAAAACTCAGACTTAAGTTTGTTTCGAGAAATCGGGGCCTGATCCAGGACCTCTGATGCGTAATAGTGTATATTGTTTATCGCCACCTCTACCAATATTTCAGCCACATGACAGCAGTCTCTAAACAACTGACCAGGCATTCCAGTGACTGACATCATGAGCATTCAACTGGGATACAATGCCATTCATCAAACAAGACAGTGAATCTCACAACCAGTTCCATTAAACACATGTTATATTTGGGATTACACTTTCTTAGTAAAGTACAGATTCTAGTACTAGTGGAAGCGACGAAGGCTGAGCGGGTTAGGTGGCTGACTTTGTGTGCTGGCGATTAGGTGCCTGACTCTGTGGGTCTGGGTTCGAATCCCAGATGGGACTCAACCCAAAAAGTACTAGAATCTATACTTTACTAAGAAAGTGTAATACCAAATATAACATGTGCTACATTTGACTACTTTCTAAAAAGGCATTGTGTATTTCACAGTTCCATTCAGTTGCCTTGTACAGTCGTAGGGCTCAGGTGGTTTCATGCAATTGCACCAAGGTCATGAGGTACCTGTACCGGGCCCCGTTCCACAAAGCGATCGTAGCACTACGAGTGTCGTAAGTCTATGTTAAAGTATAGGAGTTACGATCATCTTAGCGTGGCACGATCTCTTTGTGGAACAGTACCCAGGGCCCATTTCACAAAGCTTATCAGAAAGCACTCACGAAAGTGTCGTAAGTCTATATTAAAGTATGGGAGTTACGATCATCTTAGTGCTACGATCTCTTTGTGGAACGGTACCCAGGGGCCCATTTCACAAAGCGATCGTAGCACTACGAGTGTCGTAAGTCTATGTTAAAGTATAGGAGTTACGATCATCTTAGCGCTACGATCTCTTTGTGGAACGGTACCCAGGGGCCCATTTCACAAAGCGATTGTAGCACTACGAGTGTCGTAAGTCTATGTTAAAGTATGGGAGTTACGATCATCTTAGCACTATGATCTCTTTGTGGAACGGTACCCAGGGACCCATTTCACAAAGCGATCGTAGCACTACGAGTGTCGTAAGTCTATGTTAAAGTATGGGAGTTAGATCATCTTAGCGCTATGATCTCTTTGTGGAACGGTACCCAGGGGCCCATTTCACAAAGCAATCGTAGCACTACAACTGTTGAAAGTCTATGTTAAAGCATGGGAGTTATGATCATTTAACCGCTACGATCGCTTTGTACAACAACGCCCTGTTCGACCAGGCTTTGTACAGATTATCGTCCATGAAATTTAAGGCCTTTTTAGGAGCTTTTCAAGGCCCAATCAACAATTGGACAAACTATAGAAACACATAAAACACATACGTAGTTGAATACACATGAAGTTGGACAAATGTGGGAAGTTGGACAAATGTGGGGCCGAAGGGGCCGACCATCAAAGGGAAATAACTCTTAGCTACATCGCTGCAGTGGTGGAAGATAATTCACATCCACTGTCATTGCAAGGTAGTTTCCTGTGAAATCAAAAGTTGACGAGTTTTGCTAAAAATAGGAACTTTTTAGGGCAAATCACAGGCAAATAGAAACCTTTCAAGGCTAAAATGAATTTAGGGCCTTTTTAGGGTAAACTGTCCAAATTTTCAGGTTTTTCAAGTCCATGCAAACCTTGGCCACAATTAACTGTTGAATCTGAGCATCTTACCTCTGTAGCATCTCCTGATACAAACGTGTGGAAGTCTGCATTCAAGGCACAGGCACTGACGATCTCTTTGTACCTGAAACAGGTGAGTCATTGGTTTTAGACACATTGCATGTTCTGTGTCCAAATGTCCATTACTTTTTTTTTTAAAAGTTATTAGGCAAATGATTAAAAAGACATTCATGTACGGAACAAGCTACATTTGTCAATAAGGACATCCTTTTAAAAAATCCCATTTAAGACAATGCAACTAACAACAAATCTGTTCCACAAAGCAAATCACAACATCATTTGACTTATAGAATGTGTTTATCTTGTATGCAATGTGAGTGAGTGAGTTTAGTCTTAATAATCTTAGTTTAATATTATGGTTGAGGACACGAGATATGGGTTTTACATAATGTACCCATGTGGGGAATATAACCCGGGCCTTTGGCGTGACAAGCGAACGCTTTATCCACAAGGCTACCCCCTCACCCTTATGCAAAGAAACACTGAGCAACAAGTCACTGATATCAAGCTCTTCATGAATCATCATCATCATCGCCATCATCTTCCGCCGCCGCCGCCGCCTCTCATCATCATCATCATCATCATCATCATCATCATCATCATCATCATCATCATCATCATCGAGTGACCAAAAGAATTCAACACTATCACACAAATGTTAATTTGCTTAATTTTTTAAAAATACTCCACGTGAAAGTGAACAAAGACTATACAATTATTTAATTGACAACAGTGGGAAATTTTTACAATAGCGATAATGTAAATATTGTGTTTACCGTTTTTCATTGTATGGAAGCCCAAACAGGATATTCTCCCTGACAGTGGTGTTGGTGATCCAGGCTTGCTGGGGGACGTAGGCTATGCTGCCATTGACAGCAATCTTCCCACTCAACAGATCCATCTGCACAACACAACACATCCATACATCTACAGACAGGGACAAACAATAATGTGAGCTGGAATATTCAGAATACTTCAATCTGATTGGTTCTTCAAAGGTTTCAAATCTCAATAACCACCTCCAATACCACTAGAGTGGTTTCAAATGTGAATAACCACCTCCCGCAAATAAGGTGTACATGAATGTGGAAAATACTTCTTCCTTATTGGTTCATTAGAGGTTTCAAATGTGAATAACCAATTCCAATGCATTACCATCAGAGTGTGCGGCAAACTCTAAGGTGAACATGAATGTGGAAAATACTTTAACCTTATTGGTTCATTAGAGATTTCAAAGGAGAAGAGAATTGTGCATCAATTATTCACAAATATATCAAATAGACGCAGTTGAGGCACTCACAAAAATACTCATTGTACCAAATTCTTGAAATAAATAAAAAGATACTGTAAACTGAAGGCATTTTAAAATCTTACAGCACAGCAAACTACACAATTTATTTCCTCAAACTGTAAGGACATTTGATATTAGTTATTTGGGGTCCTCTGGACCCCTAGGTTTGTATGTTGCTGTAAGGAGCTTAACACACTTAAGACTTTTGACTATAGTCTGTTTGCAGAAAAAAAACCTTTTATCCTAAGTTGAATAAAATTCAAAGATTTAAATGTTCAATTGGCACAGTAAAATTATGAGGATTCGATCTGATTTACGATTTTATTTAAAGTGAAATTCATCTGTACGTTTTCACTGCAAACAGACTATAGTTGCAGCAAGGGTATTGTGAACTCAGAGAGGAAGTGTCACTGTAAGGAGTCTTGATGGTGAAGTGACTTCAAAGCCTTGAAGGAAAAACGGCCTGATTGCAAGCATTGTGAGGATAGATATCCAGTGACTAAAACCCAAGACTTCAACAAACAATTTGGCTTCTTTAGATCAAAGATTTACTCACTCTTCCCAGGATGGCGCTGATCAGGGATGTCTTCCCCGCACCAACGCTGCCACACACACCCATCAGCTTGCCCTGGGAGAAACACGCAAATTCATCAGTGAGGCTGTTGTTCTAGTTTAACACCGCACGCAGCAATATTCCAGCAATATGATGGCGGTGTGTAAATAATCGAGTCTGGACCAGACAATCCAGTGATCAACAGCAAGAGCATCAATCTACGAAACTGGGACACGATGTGTCAACCAAGTCAGCGAGTCTGACCACCCGATCCCGTTAGTCGCCTCTTATGACAAGCATGGGTTGCTGAAGACCAGTTGTAACCCAGATCTTCAAGGGTACCATCAGTGATCCCGACATCACAGAGCTGAAGGATTCCAACACGCAAGGAGAGAAAATCACATCTAATGATGAGTGAGGCAATCTCAAATCTTTATTTCTGATACTACGGGCCTATGAGTACAAAAACACCTCATCGGTGCAGACATGAAATAAAATGATAACAATGAAAGCATGTATAATATATACAATCTTAATATGACAAAATTGATTTCCTTTTTTCGAATGCATAAAACAGATATTTAGCAGTATTCAAGGAAATGTCTTCATTTTGGGATGATAACAACAAATTGAATTTTAGTATATTGGGGAAAACATAGAATTCGCGACAAAAGATATTTACGCCTTAATTCAAATAAGAAGTGATATTCATTTTCAATTACGTTTTAAGTTACACATTTTGCATGTTCTTTGTTCCCGGGGAATGTTATAGTAACGTCCTCTTTCAATTTCTAAACTATGGGAACTTAACCTAAATCGTGATAAACAAGATCTATATTTGGATACAGTAATATGAGTTAAGTATGTTTCACAAGAAATCGTTACTTTAAAATTACAATACGTAAACATTTTGGGGCTCTCAGATAAATCACTATGGCAGAGTGAGGCAATCATATTTCACATCATTTTCAGCAACATCTGATCAAAGGACACCTGAAATGAACTCCATGCGCTGTAGACTTCATTCCAGTCGATAAGGGGCAGCGGGGTAGCCTAATGACGGCCTGGGATCGATTCCCCACATGGGTACAATGTGTGAAGCCCATTTCTGGTGTCCCACGCTGTGTTATTGCTGGAATATTGCTAAAAACGGCGTAAAACCATACTCACCAACTCACTCACTCCAGTCAATAAACAAGACAAAGATGTGAGACTAAAACACAACCCTTTTGATCATAGTCTTACAAATATAGGCCAGCAAATTGTCATATTAATATAACATCATGTTTAGCAACAGTATACCTGCTATTCACACATCTCAGAAAGGGCAGATAACTCACCTTTTCAAGGTTAAACGTGATGTCTGTGAGGCAGGGATCTGGAACAGCATCCAGCATCGTTGTCTCGTCAGCTTCTCGTAACGCTGTTGTCTCTTCTGTGAAGTGACCGCCATTCATCATTGGTTTCGATACGCTGCCATTGTCCTGGTCTTCGTCAATGCAAAATATACACATAATTAGCATCATAATAAAAACATCACATGAAGATGAAGACCTTTGGAATATATACACAATAATGAAGTAAGCATTTGTTTGTTTGTTTCTTTGTTGCAGTGTAATTACGGAATGTTCCAGCTACATGACAGAGGTCTATCAATAATGCAATATGGACCATCCAATCCAGTGATTGGCATTATGAACATCAGCTTCACACATTGTACCCATGTGGGGAATCCAACCCGGGTCTTTGGCCTGACAAGCGAACGCTTTATCCAGAAGACTACCCCAACGCCCCTTTAGATAAACAGACATGCATAGAAGGACAGCTGAGTCAGCAAAGTCTTACGACAACCTTGAGTACAATTCTCACCAAATTTTCACAAATTCTAACTCTAAAGTCATTTACCAAGTACAGTGAAGCCCCGTTAGTCCGGACTCCGATAATCCGGATGTCTCGCCTCCCGGACAATTTCAGCTTGTTACCAATCTATGCCTATATAATTTGCCTCGATAATCCGGAAATTCGTTTTCAGAACCGGGCGGTAAGTAGCTGTCACCAATCAGTAAAATAAACAGTAAATTGCTTCACAGTCCGGACGCTGTAAGTCATGTTCACGAACTGTAACAACACTTCCCGGCGATGTTTACTTAACTGGCCTCAAACAATAAACACTCGGTGTCATGGAGTTGACAAGATGAACTCTTGTTAACTTTTGAGAAATGTCAGTTAAGGGTTGTTGTTTTAATTACACATAAAAGCTCCCGACTGAAGCTTTTTGCTATGATTTATTGTTGTGCCAGCTATTCATCGTTTTATAAGCTTTACATGATATGCTTATTTGTTTTATCCAGACTCGTGTCGTTTTTGTAATAGTAAGGGAAGCAACTCTTGCTTGAACTTGGGTCTTGATTCAGTAGTCCGGACAATTCAAAATCCGGACAAATTTGCTGAGAAACGCAACCGCCCGGATTAACGAGGCTTCACTGTACATACAATCACAGGCCTGTATATTTCCCTCAAACATCAGCTTGTAGTGTCAACAAAACGATGGAACCAATGTAATAATTTTTCATTTCTGCTTCACCGACACATGAAATATCGTGTTCAATAAAATGGTTGAAATATTCATTAATGTAATATCGTACTCACTATGTTTCTTCTCAGCAGATTCAATGATGCCCCAGCTAAATGTGGCTTCTTGCATAACTATTCTTTGATTGGAGGACGCCACGGTACACTTGGGCTGGCTGATCTCCTCCATACACAGCACACTCTGTAGAACAACATCATCACAATATGCATATACAATATGTCATATAAGCTGAAGCTGTTTGATGAGTAAGTGAATGAGTGATGAGTATGAGGTGGCTGGTTGAAACCGGTATTTTGACTTGCAGACGAAAACTTTGTAACACTTCGAAATCTTCAGATATTTTCTTGTTTCATTTTGTGCCAAATATTCTTCAACATTTTTATTTTATCATGATTAAAAGTTGTTTTAAAGCTTAATCAAGCATAGTGATTTTGTTGTCTCTTTGCTCTGTAAATCAAGCATTAACTCGCTTTATAAGTAGTTTTTGTTTAAAAATACTTCAGGCAATATATTGCAATACATATCGCGAAAACATGCTTTCACGTGATCGGAATATATTGCAATATGAAAATTCTGTGCAATACCCACCCCCTAATGTACAGTATGTCAAGAGGAAGCTGGTCAGTGAGGAGTGAGTGAGGTTTAAAATTTACGCCGCACTCAGCAATATTCCAGCTGTATGGTGGCGGTCTGTAAACAATCGGGTCTGGACCATACAATCCAGTGATCAACAGCAAGAGCATCAATCTACGCAATTGGGATACGATGACATGTGTCAACCAAGTCAGCAAGCCTGACCAACCTGATCCCATTAGTTGCCTCTTATGATAAGCATGGGTTACTGAAGATCAGTTCTAACCCTGATCTTCACGGGTCGAAAGCAGGTCAGAGCTACAGTCAGCCATATTAAGGCCATTTCAAGGCAGTATTTCAAGTCAAGCTAGAACAGGGCCCCTTTCCGAAAGCAATCGTAGTGCTAAGAGACTTATGACTGTCATAGTGTTACGATCGCCTTGAGGAATGGAGCCCAGGATTGAATAAACACTCAGGGTCCTGTTCCAAAGAGTGATCTTTGCTCTACATTAACTTTGACTTGCACTAAGGTGTTTTACCCATATCATAAGTCTTAGCACAAAGGTGATTATTACATCTGTACTGTAATTCTGACTTAGCACTAAGGTGATTGTTACAACCATACCGTAACTCTGACTTAGCACTAAGGTGATTGTTACAACCATACTGTAACTTTGACTTAGGACTAAGGTGATTGTTACAACTATACTGTAACTTTGTGCACTAAGGTGATTGTTACAACTATACTGTAACTTTGACTTAGCACTAAGGTGATTGTTACAACCATACTGAAACTTTGACTTAGCACTAAGGTGATTGTTACAACCATACTGTAACTTTGACTTAGCACTAAGGTGATTGTTACAACCATACTGTAACTTTGACTTAGCACTAAGGTGATTGTTACAACAATACTGAAACTTTGACTTAGCACTAAGGTGATTGTTACAACCATACTGTAACTTTGACTTAGCACTAAGGTGATTGTTACAACCATACTGTAACTTTGACTTAGCACTAAGGTGATTGTTACAACCATACTGAAACCTTGACTTAGCACTAAGGTGATTGTTACAACCATACTGTAACTTTGATTAGCACTAAGATGATTGTTACAACCATACTGAAACCTTGACTTAGCACTAAGGTGATTGTTACAACCATACTGTAACTTTGACTTAGCACTAAGGTGATTGTTACAACCATACTGTAACTTTGACTTAGCACTAAGGTGATTGTTACACCCATACATAACTTTGTCTTACCACTAAGATGACTGTTACATCCATATCATAACTTTTGTTATGATGATACTAAGATGATCATTTTGGCAGATGTGTTACTTTGATGTAGCTCTGAGGTTGGCTTGTAGAACGTAGGCACGGGAAGAGGTTTTAGTAAGTTCTCATGATGAGCAAGGGAATCTGTTTGATATTGGTATTATTTCCAGTAATTTTCTACTCAAGTTTATGGGGCCCTGGCCTGATTCAGTAGTACATGCACACAAAGAAGGGAGTTTGTACTATGACCCTCAAGTACCTCATGAGAAAGCTTGGATATTGTATACTCCTAAGGGAGCTGAAAACTAAATTCGTGTGCCCACTGATCCATTGACTTGGGTAAAACCATCATGCTTCGGCCATGTTTGAAAATAATGGATTATACATGTAAAAGATGACTAAACACATTATTTTAATTTTTACTACACAAGAGAGAGTGAATGAGTTTAGTTTTAGGCCACTTTTAGCAATATTCCAGCAATATCACGGCGGGGGACACCAGAAATGGGCTTCACACATTGTACCCATGTGGGGAATCGATCCCAGGCCCTCATTAGGCTACTCCACCGCCCCTTATCGCCTGGAATGAACTCTACATTCAGCTGTTCTTATTTGTACAGCGTATGGAGTTCATTTCAGATGTCCTTTGATCCTTTGATCAGATTGTACCCATGTGGGGACTCGAACCCAGGTCTTCGTGACAAGCGAACACTTTAACCACTAGGCTGCCCCAAAGACCCTACTGGACAAGAATAGATCACATGTGCTTCAAACAAGTGGTTACAACATCAGCCAGCTGGAACGTACCTTATATCTCTTCATGGAGACTAACACTTCCGCCAGAGCCTTTATTGCGTATGGCATCACACCTAGCGAGAACCTCATCGAATTCAACAACGACACAAACGTGAAAGCCTGAAAACACATTAAAAAATTACCATATTTGCTCAAAAAATGACCTGGGCCCCGTTTCACAAAGCTCTCGAAAGCCTAAGATCTGTTAACTTTCCTCGTAGCATTCCTACCTGTTATACTGTAACACTGACTTACGATAGTCGTAGCGCTACAAGAGCTTTGTGAAACGGGGCCCTGGGTACTAAGAAATTGTTTGGATAAGATTTACAAGCAATGAACCCAGTATTACTAAAGAGTGAGTGAGTGAGTTATTATTTAATGTCACATCGGAAATATTTCAGCCATATCATGACAAGAACATATGTGACATTGAAATGGAATATCAATGTATATTATAAAATATACAGCATTTTCTGATGCAAGGACAGCAAAACAACTAGTCCTCCTTCCATCACAATTACTAACTAAAACTAGTGTGGAAAATTTGACAAGTACATCTGAATAATTGTATACATTATTAGCCTTGGGCAATTTAACAGATACATTATACAATGAACATATGATGATGTTTGTTTGTACTGATGGTGATGATGAAACAATGTTGATGGCGTTTTGAGGATGCAAGGATGTATGATGTTCTGTGAAATGTATTATAACAACAACAAAACAAAGTATGACGTTTTTGTACTATTGATAACGAGGGATGTTTTGTATGACGTTTTTGTACAATGTATTATGACAACAACAAATTGCGAGGATGTTGTGTACGACGAGGATGTTTTGTATGACGTTTTGTACAATGTTCAATGTTTATGACAACAACAAATGTACTTTGGGAAATAAAAATACTTAAAAAAAAGAAAAAAAAAAAAGATACTACCTTTGCAGCTGTGAGTTCATTCCCTGTAGCGACGTAAGTGATGAAAGTGATGACGGATGAGAAGACAGGCACCATGCTGGCGACGGACGTGCTGAGAGACTGTACATACGCCGCCTTCTCCAGCACTCCCCGTTCTTTAGACCGGATGTCTGTGCGACACACACAAGCAGTCAGAGATAATGTACACACATGATTTATTCTTCTCGGAAAGTTGATTGGATGGTTGGTTTGTTGTTTAACGCCGCGACTCAGCAATGTTCCAGCTATATGGAGGCTGTGATCAACAGCATGAGCATCGATCTACGCAAATGGGATATGATGACATGTGTCAACCAAGTCAGCGAGTCTGACCACCCGATCCTGTTAGTCGCCTCTTAGGACAAGCATGGGTTACTTAAGACCATTTCTAACCCGGGTCTTCACAGATAACACAAGAGTAGGAATAGTGCTATTCTGTTAGAGTGTTCTAATTACAAAGCAGTAATGAAGTAACTGAAAGACATTTAGATGTGATACACATAAACGGGGGATATTTTGATGTGAGTACTGAGTGAGTGAGTGAGAGGAGTGAGTGAGTGAAGAGGAGTGAGGTGAGTGAGGAGTGAGTGAGTGAGGTGGTGAGTGAGTGAGTGAGTGAGTGAGTGAGTGAGTGAGTGAGTGGAGTGAGTGAGGAGTGAGTGAGAGGAGTGAGGTGGAGTGAGTGAGTGAGTGAGTGAGTGAGTGAGGGAGGTGAGGGAGGAGGAGGAGGAGTGAGTGGAGGGAGGAGGAGTGAGTGAGTAGAGTTGAGTTAGTTAGTGAGTTGAGTTGAGTGAGGAGTTAGTTAGTTAGTTAGTTAGTTAGTTAGTTAGGTTAGTTAGTTAGTGAGTTAGTTAGTTGGAGTAGAGTTAGTTAGTTAGTTAGTTAGTTTTAGTTAGTTAGTTTTAGCAATATTCCAGAAATGTCCAGAAATGTCACGGCAGGAGACACCAGAAATGGCTTCACACAATGTACCCATGTGGGGACTCGAACCTGGGTCTTCGGCGTGACAAGCGAACGCTTTAACCACTAGGCTACCTCACCGTCACACTACAGTGGTTGTTACAGAAGCTGACACCAATGAATGTCCCCCATCATAGCAGTGATATTTCACAATGGAAGAAGAATGTCATACCTGATATTGTTTTGGCGAATGGTTTTTCCCATGCGTACATCTTGATGAGCTTCACACATGTCAGCAGTTCACTCATCATGCGGACCTACAATGATGAGGAGTGAGTGAGTGAATGAGTTTAGTTTTACGCAGCTTTCAGCAATATTCCAGCAACATCACGGCGGGGGACACAAGAAATGGGTTCACACATTGTACCCACGTGGGGTACAATGTTGGGGAGGAAATTTAAAGAAAACTTATCATGATGAGAAACACCAGGTTCTGACCACTTTAATAAGATAAGATAAACTTTATTGTCCCGCTAAGGGAAATTTGTCTTGCATTCAAAGAGCCAATACAAGCATATAACAACAAATAATTTAAAGTATATATACACAATGCCAAGCTAATCAGAATATAATGTTGAATTATAACTTATAAACCAACAGTGACATCACTCTATTGTTCTCAGGGGACACTTTTTCTCGCAATATCCCCAAATCTGATACAATCTCGCTTCTTCGGGCAATTATCTAACTTAGTAAATAATGCCCCTCTGTCCCGGGCAATTATCTTAATAACGACCCTGTGCCCTGGGATCTTCTGAGGAATAGCCCTTGACTTTGAATTATTACTTGTTCACAGAAAGTAGGACCCGAACAAAATGTTGCCAATGATAATACAGTCAAGCACCAATGTCTCGATATTTATGGGACCAAGAAAAAATATCAAGTTATCCGAACTTCAAGACATCCGACCCGGCATATCGTCACATATTACTCTGAAAGAAAACAAAACGCTCCTCCATATGTTTTGATTCGAAACTATAATCCATGATCAGTAGTGTTTAGTCGTAACAGTGAGTAGTTCCTAATTAAATCCTTCTTAATTAATCCTAATTAAATAACAAACAAGTGACACCTTCAACTCAATTAGCCCTAATTAGTTTACACTACCGCATCCCTTTGATTCATGCCGCACCGTGTTTAAATGTGTGGAAACAACCTCAGTTCAGAGGGATACTTGCCTATGAAAGGTAGGGGATATCGAGTTTCTTTGGAAATATCAAGTTGGGTAAAACGGTAATTTTGCTTGTTGAGACCATGAAATTATATCGAGACATCAGGAATATCGAGACATCCGTATCAAGTTAAAAGAGCTTGAATAATGATAAATTATGAAGGATTTTGCCGGGACTGAGATGTTATATCGAGACAACCGAGATATCGAGTTATCAGAGTTCGACACAACGGTGCTCGACTGTATATGTTTTACACTTTCTCAGTTCCTCAAATGTTTAGGTTGAGTCCCATCATGGATTCGAACCCACACTGTCAGAGCCAGGCACCTGATCGCCAGCACACAAAGTCAACCATCTAACTCACTCGGCCATTGCTGCTTCCACAAAAACAGGTAGTCCAGGGTCACAGACTTTGTGTACCACTCTGATAAATGGTTTTAAAGACATTTTTCTGACATTCATCCGTAGTAGACAAAAAGGGCTACAGATAAGGGGCATGCAGTCCAGGGACACAATATAAGATTTCACATCGACATAAATTTGTGTACATTTAATTTCCGTGCATTATCGTGCACTACTCAAGAGATAAATGGTTTGACACAAGACAGTAGGAATTTGCGTTGCCTGGACATTCATCACATGATTGGCTAAAAACTTTTGTATTTATATCCAAGGTCTGACATGTTATTTCTCAACACCTCAAATACATGGTTTAGGCGTCCAGTAGACAGTGTCAGTACTCCTTCAAAATTTAGTTCCACTTGCAATATGATGTGTAAGTACACTCACACCCCTAAAAGTTATCTGGAGCCCTGCAGACCCCTGGTCAGGGCCAGTCTGGTTGGCTGCCTGGACATTGTTGCGTGGACATCTTTATTATGAGGTCACAACAACATCACCAATATTGTCAATTACAGATATTCCAATCAATTAAGCCAGGACATATGTCTACTTACACGCTTGTCTGTAATTCTTATCCCTTCTCTTCTAAACTTAGTTGTGAGCCTTGATATCAGTGCCTGGAAACAAGAAACATATCAAACTGATTGGAGAAGGATATCAAACATGTCAAACTGATTGGAGAAAGACATAAAACATGTCAAACTGATTGGGTGAGTGAGTTATTATTTAACGTCACATCGGCAATATTTCAGCCATATCGTGAACGAGTCAAACTGATTGGAGAAAGACATAAAAGATACTAAACTGATTAGAGAAGGATATCAAACATGTCAAACTGATTGGATATATTCCTTTTTGCATATTTCCCTTTGATAAATAATACCAAATTCAAATATAAACTTTCCTTTACAAAATGCATGAATGTTTGATTTAAGTGACCACGAATAGCAAATGGACTTCATGAAAAGGAATACGGTTTGATTAGAGTCATGTGAGTCAAACACAGTAGGCGTAAATGATATATTCTGGCAAGTCAGAGAGCCTAGGTGAGTGAGTGAGTTTAGTTTTACGCTACTTTTAGCATTATTCCAGCAATATCACGGCGGGGGACACCAGAAAGAGGCTTTACACATGGTACCCATGTGGGGAATCGAACCCGAGTCTTTGGCGTGATGCGTGAAGGTTTTAACCACTAGGGTACCCCACCGCCCCTCTACTCACCATTATCAAAAGACAAGGGCACCCTGGGGCAACTGTTCCACCGAACCCAGCTTAGTGCGACCATGGTTTACAGCATATTGCATCAGTACATATGTACTGCAGCCCGATGTACCTTTAACTTCTCTTGTCAGCATTGTTAACAGCGATGAAGATCCGGGTTAGATTTGATCTTCAGTGGCCCATGCTTGTCGTAAGATGACACTAACGGGATCGGGTGGCCAGGGTCGCTGACTGGGTTGACACACATCATCGGTTCGATGCTCATGCTGTTGATCACTGGATTGTCTGGCCCAGACTCGATTATTTACAGACCACCGCCACACAGGTGGAAAATTGCTGAGCTCAGTGTAAAACTAAAGTCACTCACTCACTCACTACTTACAGCGAAAGGATAAAATCCCAGGAAAATGCAGGTCCCAATAAGACCATAAGGTCCCAGTAGATAAACAGCATATATGGAACCTCCCAGCAACACGAACGGAGCACAAAACACCAGAGGACCGATTGCAGTTGCCTCGAACAAACGCTGGCCATCATTACCAACTAAATTGACAAGCTGAAAAGAGGAAAACTACTTTAGATTTAGCACAGCGTTATGTGACAGTGTGAAACTTCCTATGATGTGAAAGCCCCGAATGATGAAGGAATTGGGATTTGGAACTTCGCATTTCTATGTCAGGCACACCAGCACAAGTCAGGGGTGGAAATAACTTAAAAATTGCTAATGTACTCCGGTACAGTGGCACATGTAAAATCACTTGCCCTGATCATTTTTCCACTATACCAGCCGTTTTCTTGTTGATTTTTTAAATAAACAACATAATTAATATTGGAAAGTCAACTGGACACCGGTACAGTGTGATATACAAATTTGCTTGCCCGACAGAAAAAACCAACGGACTCAGGCGTCGGGCAATAGGTTATTTCCACCCCTGCAAGTCCAAGTCTAACATGTCTAAACAACATAAATTCTAAAAAATACTAAAATAGCAAAAGGCACATTAAACAACCTAGTCTTTGTGTGTGCACGGTTTCATGAAAGAATACCTGTCAATTAAAAGATAGGTTTGGACAAACACCCCACTATCAACAGAGTTAAAACCAAATTGGATGCCATGGAAATAAAAAAAGCATGAATTCTAAAAATCCCTAAATAGCAAAAGCCACCAGTTGATGACCTGGGCTTTGTGTGTCCACAGTTTCAAGAAAGAGCACCTTTAAGTTTCAGAGATACGATCAAACACACCCCTATCACCAGAGTCAGGCAAACTTGTTGCCATGGAAACAGGGAAAAAAATATTTTTCAAAATTCCTCTACACCAAAAGGCACTACTGATCAAAATGTTGATTTTTAGTTCTGCCCGAGAAACTACATCACCTTGTATCATTTGCAGGGGTTAGGAAATACTTACCTCTCCAACAGTCTTGTTCTTTAAACTCTTTAATCGTAAAATCTTCTTAAATAAAAAACTAGTAGCACCAGCCCTTACACGCACACCTGAAAAACAGAATGTACATTGAAAGGCTTAAAACTGTTGGGACATACTGAAAGCTTGAGCAGCAGCATGAGGGAACAACATTACAGAATACTGACTGACTGAGTTTGGTTTTACGCCGCTTTTAGCAATATTCCAGCAACATCACGGCGGGGGACACCAGAAATGGGCTTCACCAATTGTACCCATGTGGGGATTCGAACCCGGGTCTTTTTGACAAACGCTTTAACCACTAGGCACCCCACAGCCTCCATTACAGAATAAGCCATGTGCCAACAAAGAGTATCCCATACTTTTCTACGACAAGCAAGACACGCTGTGACCTAGTCAAGCAGCAGTGCCTGAACAAAGAACAAAGCATCAACGGAAAAAATGTTTCCATGGAAACATGTTTCATGTGAAAGGTAGACATGTTGGTGACCAAGGTTACAGATGGTACTTATATCATTTGAATGGGGTTAAAGACTGAAGAAGCGTAACCATGGTAACAATGTGTCTACTGAATAGTATACAAATTTACAGGCGGTAGTGATGTTACCATGGTAGCACTGTGCCCCCTTCTGACTGGTAGATCAGGTTAATGACATAAGGAACGTAACCATGGTAACAATGTGTCTAATCTGAACGGCAACCAAGGATACAGACATAGCTAAGTTACAGTGGTAGCAATGTGTTGCCATCTGAATGGTAGATTATGATAAAGACTGAAAACACATAACCATGGTAACAATGTGTCTAAACTGAATGGTCACCAAGGTTACATACAGTAGCTGTGTTACCATGGTAGCAATCTGAATGGAAGATCAGGTTAAAGACTGAACACATGAAACCGCAGAAATAATGTGTCTTAATGGTTTCCAAGATTACAGACAGTAGCTATGTTACCATGGTAACAATGTGTTTTACCTGAACGGTATCCAAGGTTCCAGAGGGCAGCACCAGTGAGTGTCCTCCCTGCCTCACACAGAAATATTCCTGCCACGTACGCCAGGCCCGTCCCCACCGTTATTTCCCCTTGAGACAAATATTCCAGGAAATTATGGATTAAAAAAATCTGTGAATAGAAAAATATGATTACTTCTTAGAGTGGCATTTTCTCGAAGATGGAGAGTCAGATACGGACAAACTTTATGGAGTGAGTGAGATTAGTTTCAAAAATTAAGATTATTTAATATTCTTAAAGGGGCTTTTTCCTAATGAACCCACTAAATCTACGCGACAACTTTGTAGAACCTTTTCAGTCCCTGGCTGTTGCAAATACCAAATGTCTGATACCTGTGGTCACAGGGAGTCACAATATATTCATTAGCCAAGTCGGTGAGTCAGACCTCCCAAAACTCTTAGTTGCCTCTGGGGCGGTGGGGTAGCCTAGTGGTTAAAGCATTCACTCGTCACGCTGAAGACCCGGGTTCGATTCCCCACATGGGTACAATGTGTGAAGCCCATTTCTGGTGTCCCCCGCCGTGATATTGTTGGAATATTGCTAAAAAGCGGCGTAAAACCATACTCACTCACTCACTCACTCTTAGTTGCCTCTTATGACAAGCATGGGTTGCTGAAGACCAATTCTAACCTGGATCTTCTCGGTTACATTCATCCTAATAAATAGTCTTTGATAAGTTTGTTTTGCTTGTTTGTTTGTTGTTTCGCCACACTCGGCAATATTTCAGCTATTGGGCAGCCGTCGGTAAATTATTAAATCTGAGCCAGACTATTCAGTGATTAACAGAAACACACAAAACAAACTTACAAAGACTGTCCCCATCATACATGTACATGATGAATGTCATCACTGAACCTTAAATAATCATGAAAATGAGAAATTGGCGAAATGATCAGAACTCTGAGCCAAACATTTTGTGATCACAAACATAAATTTATTGCTCGAAGACCGAGAGGTCAAAAAAGCAATAAAAATATGCCATGTGCTTTTCTGCAGACCACCAGTTACATATTTAGTACAGCTCCACGTAAAAATCATGCAAAATCGATAATATTGGATAAGTCAAAAATGTTCCTAAAAGTAATCTATTTTGAGTAATTTTCACATAGGTTAGAACTCGTTACCTTGACAACCGTTGCTATGGAGCTGTACTCATCAACTCTTCAAAAATATAACTGAAGTGAAAGTTATATGTATTCTTTCAATACAAAGTAAAAGAATTTTGACAGCACGAATGGTTTTAACAATATTGTCAAGTGAAAAATAGCATTTCCGTAAATTTTCACCTGCTATTCTGGGTCAATTTCATGGAATATCTAATTAACGGCTAATCAATGAAAAAAATTGAGAACAGGAAAATGTCTGAGTGACATGACATTTTACATGACCAAATTAAGAGAATGACAAAATTTCAAGTGAATATGAAATTTTGGACTAATCCACCTCTACAGGATTCTTAGGTGGAATGCTACTTGAATTCTAATACATGCAAGTCTGTGGAATTATTGTAAACATGATGTTAACAATATGGATGACGAGTAACTGTCAGGAATTCTCAGCCTAAAGAACATTATAAACATTTGTTGACAATCAATTCCAGTCAAACGTATTTCTGGTAGGACCTTCAAATTTTTTCTGAGATGTTATTTTGTTGAAGATTTCAGAAACATGAGAAGACCAACTTACCGGATTAGCCAGAGAAAAGGCACAGAAAATGAGGATGATGCAGAACGCCACAATTACTCGAGTCTTGACGAAGCGGTACAGGACTCGAGCGAAGGAAGACTTTGCCACTCCCACTGTGAGGACCTCTTCTTTCCACAACCTTTCAAACCTGAAGCAGAGTGAGTGAGTGAGTGAGTGAGTGAGTGAGTGAGTGAATGAGTGAGTGAGTGAGTTAGAGTGAGGAGTGCGTGGATGCAAGTGAGTGCGGATGGGCGAGTGAGTGAGTGGGTGTGAGTGCTGCATGCGTGGATGGCGTGGATGGACGAGTGAGGGAGTGAATGAGTGAGTGAGTGCTGGTGTGGATGGACGAGTGAGTGAGTGATTAAGTGAGTGCTGCGTGCATGGATGGGTGAGTGAATGAGTGAGTGAGTGAGAGATGAGTGGGACAAGTCTTGTTCACATATCAGAGTGTTTCATCTTAATATCTGAGGATAGCCCCAAATGATGTCTACCACATCTGTAAAAACATGAGTACACTAAATTGACATTCAAACACAAAACACAAGCTCCTTGCATGTTTAAGGGACACAAATCTGCAACCTGAGTAAGTGAACTTGGGATGTATCAGCTTTTGAAGATGAGGAACAGCTACATCACCTTGTAGGGGAAATTATAATTGTTGTCTATTTCAGATTTATACAGACTTTACCTGAAACCTCTGTCCAGTATCTGGATATTCTTAAGGTAGTGGCCATCTGTCCAGACAACCAATACATCCAATTAAAAATGAACAACCGTTTATATCTAAGTTCACTTGTGCCGAGTCCTCTTCCAGTATCTGGATGTTCTTGAGGAAGTCGAGATCTTTCCAGAAGACCATTAATCAAAATCTACCCCACATATTACAACCTTACCTGTCTGAGTTGACTTTAGCCGAGTCTTCTTCCACTATCTGGATGTTCTCAAGGAAGTCGAGATCTTTCCAGAAGACCATTAATCAAAATCTACTATCTGGACCTGTCTGAGTTGACTTTTAAGGTATCTGGATGTTCTCAAGGAAGTCAACATCTTTCCAGAAGACCATTAATCAAAATCTACCCCACATAATACAACCTGTACCTGTCTGAGTTGAAGTCTTCTTTCCTATCTGAGTTCTAAGGAAGTCAACACCTTTCCAGAAGCCCATTAATCAAAATCTACCACACATAATACAACCATACCTGTCTGAGTTGACTTTAGCCGAGTCTTCTTCCACTATCTGGATGTTCTCAAGGAAGTCAACACCTTTCCAGAAGACCATTAATCAAAATCTACCCCACATAATACAACCAAACCTGTCTGAGTTGACTTTAGCTGAGTCTTCTTCCAGTATCTGGATGTTCTAAGGAAGTCAACACCTTTCCAGAAGCCCATTAATCAAAATCTACCCCACATAATACAACCATACCTGTCTGAGTTGACTTTAGCCGAGTCTTCTTCCAGTATCTGGATGTTCTCAAGGAAGTCAACACCTTTCCAGAAGACCATTAATCAAAATCTACCCCACATAATACAACTGTACCTGTCTGAGTTGACTTTAGCCAAGTCTTCTTCCAGTATCTGGATGTTCTAAGGAAGTCAACACCTTTCCAGAAGACCATTAATCAAAATCTACCCCACATAATACAACCATACCTGTCTGAGTTGACTTTAGCTGAGTCTTCTTCCAGTATCTGGATGTTCTAAGGAAGTCAACACCTTTCCAGAAGCCCATTAATCAAAATCTACCCAACATAATACAACCATACCTGTCTGAGTTGACTTTAGCCGAGTCTTCTTCCAGTATCTGGATGTTCTAAGGAAGTCAACACCTTTCCAGAAGCCCATTAATCAAAATCTACCCAACATAATACAACTGTACCTGTCTGAGTTGACTTTAGCCGAAGTCTTCTTCCAGTATCTGGATGTTCTCAAGGAAGTCACATCTTTCCAGAAGCCCATTAATCAAAATCTACCCCACATAATACAACCGCACCTGTCTGAGTTGACTTTAGCTGAGTCTTCTTCCAGTATCTGGATGTTCTCAAGGAAGTCAACACCTTTCCAGAAGCCCATTAATCAAGATCTACCACACATAATACAACCATACCTGTCTGAGTTGACTTTAGCCGAGTCTTCTTCCACTATCTGGATGTTCTCAAGGAAGTCACGCCTTTCCAGAAGCCCATTAATCAAAATCTGCCCCACATAATACAACCATACCTGTCTGAGTTGACTTTAGCCGAGTCTTCTTCCAGTATCTGGATGTTCTCATTGTCGAGATCTTTCCAGAAGACCATTAACCACAATCTACCCCACATAATACAACCGCACCTGTCTGAGTTGACTTTAGCCAAGTCTTCTTCCAGTATCTGGATGTTCTAAGGAAGTCGACACCTTCCCAGAAGCCCATTTACCACAATCTACCCCACATAATACAACCTTACCTGTCTGAGTTGACTTTAGCTGAGTCTTCTTCCAGTATCTGGATGTTCTCAAGGAAGTCAACACCTTTCCGGAAGATCTTCCACATGACGGGGGTGAGCCAGCTGTAGAAGAGTCCGCTGATGCAGCCGGACTTGGCCAGGGGGAACTCATACTTGGATCTGGTGGTGCAGCAGAAAATGAAGGATATTACACAGAACAGGAAAATGATTGTATGCCATAACATTCAAATATTTGCAGGCATGCATTTCAGCTGCTAATGTGATTGAGTGAGTTTAATTTTACACCTCACTCAGCATTATTCCAGCTATGTGGCGGCCGTCTGTTACTAATAGAGTCTGTACCAGACAATCAAGTGATCAACAGCATGAGCATCAATCTGCGCAGTTGGGATACGATGACATGTGTCAACCTAGTCAGCGAGCATGATCACCCGATCCCGTTAGTCGCCTCTTACAACAAGCATAGGTTACTGAAGATCAATTCTAACCCGGATCTTCACAGGTCGATGCTGTTAACAATGCTGACAAGAAAGTTAAAAGTACATTGGGCTGCAGTACATATGTACTGATGCAGTATCATTTTTCGATATTGGGCAAAAAACATAGTTTTGGTTAATTTCAAATCTACAAGAGACTTTCATTCACAAATGATGTTTCCTTTTGTAAGTTATGGACAAAAACAGCAAACATTACATAATTTAAATTGAATAAAAAAAAGGAAGTGTCCCTAACTCTCCAACTGTATTTTGAGATTGCTATTATCAGACACTGACAATTACTTTAAGGGCCTTTGAATGTAGCAATAGGATCTGCACGTACAATCAGTGTCACACAATGTCAACCACTTCAGCTTCCACTTAATCACAATATGTATCACAATACACTGCATATATATAACTTAAACCAAAAGTCTTCGATTTCCGGTAATTGCAAGATCATTTGCCGCATATTAATACGTACAAACATAGCACACACCATTGTATTGTTGCGTGGTCAGCAGTGGTGACATCATTAAAATCACATTGTGACATAAAGTTAGAATGCCGCCACAAATGAGCAGTTCCAGATGCTACCATGGGACTCCGGAAACAGCTGAAATGGCCAGCTGATGACTTTTCACTGCTGTACCCGTACTCGATGTCAATGAGTGTAGACACAAAAACGTGTGTGGACCTTTTGGTTTACTTTTGTGTTCACAATGTCGATAATGCCATCGGTTCCCAATGAATTCTGGGGCGGTGGGGTAGTCTAGTGGTTAAAGCGTTCGCTCGTCACGCCGAAGACCCAGGTTTGATTCCCCACGTGGGTAAAATGTGTTAAGCCCATTTCTGGTGTCCCCCGCCGTGATATTGCTGGAACATTGCTAAAACGGCATGAAACCATACTCACTCACTCATGACACCACAAATTCAACCTGTGAAGAATTGGTTTTTAGCAACCCATGATTGTCATAAGACACAAATAACGGGATCAGGTGGTCAACTTGACATATGTCATCATATCCTAAATGCATAGATTGATGCTGATCACTGGACTGAATGGACTCCAATATTTACAGACCACTGCCATACAGCTAGAATATTGCTGAGTGAACTGTTAAACAATAATCCAACCAAAAATCGTTAGGTTTAATTTACAGAAATCTTTGGCACTGCATTCAGTTGTAAATAAACATCTTTTCCTGTATCCCCAATTTGCAAAACTGTTCCATTCTGCTTGGCCAAGCAGATACCACATTAATCAGAATAACTTGGATTTGTTTTTCAGCATTCTGCTCAGATATCACGGAGCTTCAGTAATCTGAAACTTGAGATAACATTGCCTTTCACAAGACATCACGGGACTCTCTGTTAGCATTTAGAGCTCACACTTCAGTAACATGAAACTGCAAAATATTTATACCAACTTGCATCCAGTGAACGTGAATATGTTGCTATTCAAGGAACACAGACTTCAGCTGGAAAGCAAACTGAGGAAGTGGTTTGGAGAAGTGACTCTTGCGCACTATGGTCATTACCTGAGTTTGCATCAGGTGCAACTTTGTTTTGGCCTTGTGCAACATGGTCATTACCTCAGGTGCAACTTTGTTTTGGCTTCATGCAACCAGGTCATTAACTCAGGTGCAACTTTGTTTTGGCCTTGTGCAACATGGTCATTACCTCAGGTGCAACTTTGTTTTGGCCTTGTGCAACATGGTCATTACCTCAGGTGCAACTTTGTTTTGGCTTCGTGCAACAAGGTCATTACCTCAGGTGCAACTTTGTTTTGACCTTGTGCAACATGGTCATTACCTCAGGTGCAACTTTGTTTTGGCCTTGTGCAACAAGGTCATTACCTCAGGTGCAACTTTGTTTTGGCCTTTGTGCAACCAGGTCATTACCTCAGGTGCAACTTTGTTTTGGCTTCGTGCAACAAGGTCATTACCTCAGGTGCAACTTTGTTTTGGCTTCGTGCAACATGGTCATTACCTCAGGTTCAACTTTGTTTTGGCTTCGTGCAACAAGGTCATTACCTCAGGTGCAACTTTGTTTTGGCCTTGTGCAACAAGGTCATTACCTCAGGTGCAACTTTGTTTTGGCCTTGTGCAACATGGTCATTACCTCAGGTGCAACTTTGTTTTGGCTTCGTGCAAAAGGTCATTACCTCAGGTGCAACTTTGTTTTGGCCTCAGGTGCAACAAGGTCATTACCTCAGGTGCAACTTTGTTTTGGCCTTGTGCAACCAGGTCATTACCTCAGGTGCAACTTTGTTTTGGCCTTGTGCAACATGGTCATTACCTCAGGTGCAACTTTGTTTTGGCTTCGTGCAACAAGGTCATTACCTCAGGTGCAACTTTGTTTTGGCCTTGTGCAACAAGGTCATTACCTCAGGTGCAACTTTGTTTTGGCCTCATGCAACATGGTCATTACCTCAGGTGCAACTTTGTTTTGGCTTTGTGCAACAAGGTCATTACCTCAGGTGCAACTTTGTTTTGGCTTGTGCAACAAGGTCATTACCTCAGGTGCAACTTTGTTTTGGCTTTGTGCAACATGGTCATTAACTCAGGTGCAACTTTGTTTTGGCTTCGTGCAACAAGGTCATTAACTCAGGTGCAACTTTGTTTTGGCTTCGTGCAACAAGGTCATTACCTCAGGTGCAACTTTGTTTTGGCCTTGTGCAACATGGTCATTAACTCAGGTGCAACTTTGTTTTGGCCTTGTGCAACATAGCCATTAACTCAGGTGCAACTTTGTTTTGGCGTCGTGCAACCAGGCCATTAACTCAGGTGCAACTTTGTTTTGGCTTCGTGCAACAAGGTCATTACCTCAGGTGCAACTTTGTTTTGGCTTCGTGCAACCAGGTCATTACCTCAGGTGCAACTTTGTTTTGGCTTCGTGCAACCAGGTCATTACCTCAGGTGCAACTTTGTTTTGGCTTCGTGCAACCAGGTCATTACCTCAGGTGCAACTTTGTTTTGGCTTCGTGCAACCAGGTCATTACCTCAGGTGCAACTTTGTTTTGGCTTCGTGCAACCAGGTCATTAACTCAGGTGCAACTTTGTTTTGGCTTCATGCAACATGGTCATTACAGTCCATTTGACGGATGAATTGCTTACTAACATAAAATCTAATACTTGCAACAAACCCAATTTTCCCCAGTCACATGAAACCGACAGACCAACTCTGATGATTTGTCTCATAATATGGACACTCGACTAAAAAAGTTGTTTAACAAACGATCATTATTTTGTTGTCACTTTTTGCTATTTTTTAAGAGGGGGACCACTTGCTGGTAGAACAGCCAGATAATCAACAACAAAAACAGGATTTGATTCCCCACCTGGGTACAATGTGTGAAGTCTATTTCTGATGTCCCCCACCGTGATATTGCTGTGATATTGTTAAAAGCTGCATGAAACAATACTCACTCACTCTCTGCAAACAACAAAACAATGGGAAGTGTCTCGTTGATGAGCAGGATGCAAAAGTTATAACACCCTGCATGAGCTGCAGCAACTCTTCAGCCATATCCGTGTCCCACTGGGGCACATAACGCACTTCTTTGATTCAATGCCACTTTCTAAACAGCAATGTGTATTCATACTTTTCGGCCGTGGGAGCCATGCCAATTTAAACTTGTCAGAGGGGTACAACAAAGTGCAAGAACTTGACTACAAGACGTCCGACTTCCTTTTTCGTGGTAGCTGCAGTGGCTAAGTGGGTTAGATCGCTGACTTTGTGTGCTAACGATTAGGTGTTTCACTCAGAAAGTGTGGGTTCAAATTCTGGGTGGGATGCAACCTAACAAAACTATTAGGATCTGTACTGAGAATACAACATATGTTATATCATTCCACTATATTGTCCCTTACACACTGGAGGCACCCCACTACATTGTAGCTGGGCACCTCAAAGGGTACTGAAAATGAGGCTTCAGCTGATGACATACCGTATATTACCATCTATAAGCCGAATTTTGAGGACCAAAAAAAGCAGTCTGTAGAAGGGGGTCGTCTTATCCATGGGTTACGTGGTAAGCAGAAGTTGTACGCATATGGAATGGGGTAAAATACGGAAGCCATTTAAATTCACACATTTTACCGATGTTACTGTAAACTAGAAGTCAATGGAAAACGAGGCGGTAATCAGTTCGTGATTGTTGAATGGGGTAAAATAAGCAAGCCAGTTTGTTGCTACAATAAATATGATATTTAGAGAAGCAAATATATTATGCATTTTCTGTCAACTACACTTCGTTTCGATCAGTGAGTAGACACAATATATATGAATGTGAATTCTTTGAAGGACCCCATCACGGGGGGTCGACTTATGCACGAAACATACCATTTTGACACTGATTAAGGGTCAAGTTTGGGGGTCGTCTTATCCATGGGGTCGTCTTATAGATGGTAATATACGGTAATAAGGCGGGGCGCTTCAAATGTAGAATTAAAAAAATATCATTGGGGCTTCCAGCAGCGCTTCCAAAAGTTTGGTTAAAAGTTAAAAGATGAGGGCACTCCAAATGGTACAACTTAAGAACAAACAAATAGCATGGGGATTCCAGGGGTGCTTTCAAAACTTTGGTTATAAAAATTGGTTATAAAAATGAAAACGCGTTGGGGGTACTCCAAATGGTACCCTATCAACTCAACAATCGTCTTGGGTACTTAGTAGGGTGCTTTATCAACTTGTTGCTGAAGAATGTAGATGTACAGATTGAGATTGATAATATGATGTGACGTTTAGATTGACATCCAGTGATCGAGGGAAAAAACAAAGCGCCTTGAGCTGGATATGTGCGCTATACAAATGTATGTATGTATGTATGTATGTATGTATGTATGTATGTATGTATGTATGTATGCATGTATGGATGTATGTATGTATGTATGTATGTATGTATGTATGTATGTATGTATGTATGTATGTATGTATGTATGTATGTATGTATGTATGTATGTATGTATGTATGTATGTATGTATTTCAAACCTTTTGGCTTTCCGGACAGGAATCATATGTGAAAGGGCACCACTGTACTTCTTCATTCCATTTTCACGTCTTGGAGACAGAGAAAATCCTGCTTCGGACTTTGCCTCGATTTCCAAAATCCTGGAACAACAAATATGATGATCAGACAACAAATATGATCATCAGACAACAAATATAATCATCTGACAACAAATATGATCATCAGACAACAAATATGAACATCAGACAATAACTATGAACATCAGACAACATATATGATCATCGGACAACAAATATGATCATCCGACAACAAATATGATCATCAGACAACAAATATAATCATCTGACAACAAATATGATCATCCGACAACAAATATTCAAGTAAAACACATCAGACGTTCCGACAGACAACACAAGCTGGTCTAACTCAGCAGGGTTTGATTGAGGGGCTCACTTCCCCAGAGGTCAGTTTTCAGGAATTTCCAGTGTACATGTATATATATCGTGATCAATGAAGATCAGTTATCTTGATCTAATGAGTACAGGGGTGGTGGTTAAAGCATTCGCTCGTCATGATGAAGACCCGGGTTAGATTCCCCACATGGGTACAATGTGTGAAGCCAATTTCTGGTGTCCCCCGCCGTGATATTGCTGGAATATTGCTAAAAGTGGCATAAACTAAACTCACTCACTCATTCATGATTGACAAGCATAAAATAAAGCCAGGGTACTTTCCACAAAACAAACTTATCAACATGTTCATTTCAACACTGCCAAATATTTTGACCACATTTCTGTTCAAAACGATTCATGTAAAATTCTTCACATCCCATAGCAATACAATGAAAACTCCTATACAAACTTGAACTGTTTCCCGAATAAATTCCTTGCATGAAACGTGCATTCATGTAATTTCTAAGAAATTCCTAACTTTTTCCAAAAGCCCAAAGACCTGAAATAGAATTGGTCTTCAGTAACCCATGCTTGTCGTAAGAGGCGACTAACGGGATCGGGCGGTCAGGCTCGCTGACTTGGTTGACACATGTCATCGGTTCCCAATTGTGTAGATCAATGTTCATGCTGTTGATCACTGGAAGGTCTGGCCCAGACTTGATTATTTACAGTCACCATCATTTAGCGAAAATTGCTGCGTGCAGCGATAAACAACAAACAAACAAACAAACAAACAAAATCCAAAAGCCCTAAAAGCTGTACCAGTATTATAATAGGTTACGCATAGCTAACTCAGCTGCTGAAAATCAAACAACCTTCACCTTGGTAGCCTGAGGAGAGCAAACAGGCATATAATGTATCTCACTCAAAGCTTATATCTTTGTCAGTCGTGATGTAATGACTTTGGGATGTTACTCATGACAATAGGAAATAGATATCCGAGACACGCACTGATGACTCTGCAGTTCGTGGCTTTTCGAAAACATCTGTGTATTACTTACAGGTCAGGTGAGCAGGGTGTACAAGAATAATAGTGGCGTACATGAACTTGTGTGTGTGGCTGCTTTTAAAAGATATATGTCTTAATCTGATGAGGTGAGGTGAAAAGTGAGTGAGTGAGTTGAGTTTTACGCCGCACGCAGCAATATTCCAGCTATATGGTGGTCTGTAAATAATTGAGTCTGGACCAGACAATCCAGTGATCAACAGCATGAGCACCGATCCATGCAAGTGGGAACTGAGGACATGTATGAACAAAGTCAGCAAGCCTAATCACCCGATCACATTAGTCATCTTACAACAAGCATGGGTTGCTGAAGATCAATATTCTAACCCAGACCTTCACGGGTCTGAGGTGAAAATAGAGTTAAAATCATGTACAAGAATATAATATTAAATTAACAGTGTGCATGCAAATGTGAGGGGTCGCTTGGCTAGTTCAGACTAACGCCACTATACCAGTTCGCGTCCATCGAGATACGATGTCTCGGTGTAAAGAAAAAACATATCCAAGATGCGATTTCACTATTTACAGCCTGCACTGGTACATGTTAACATGCTGCAGGTTACCTTCAGTAACAGGTTGCAGCCAGCGCAGGTAACAATAAATATTCCTTATCTTACAGCTGTCATGTTTTTTAATTGGGAAGTAAGTGACTGTAAGTCATATGTTTCCCTCCACATGACTTGTTACAAGCATAAACATGCAATATGCAGGAATAAACCTAGGAATGTTTTTCGGTGGGCCAATGCTCCACCTGGTGAAGTTTGGTGGGCCCCAATGGTTGATACAAGGTTCCATTTAAAGTGCCCCACCAGGTTAATATAAGGTGGGCCCTTTTAGATTTGGGTGTTTGCAGCTTTCAGCTAAATGTATTTGCTTAATGTGTATGTTAATAAACTGTTTTAATAAGCTTGTCGTAATTTTTTTCTGAGACATGATCATTTGTGATCATGGCGAAAACAGAAACCGAAAGTTACCAAATGAAATGTTTTAGAAGCACATGCTTTCATTGCCTGAACCTATTACAACAGAGGCCCAGATAAGCTTACATCGAAAGTAAAAAGAGAAGAAAATTTCTCATATGATTGACAAAATAATTGTTATGTGTACCGTGCATTTAAAATGTTAGAGACTGAAAAAAGTTTTATAATGCTACGGAATATATTAGAAAAACCATGTAATGAAAAAGACATTGATTGCTATCAAGTTGTAGTGTTAGTATAGGACAAGTGTTGTACTGTCAGTATAGGATGAGAGATTTTTTATGAATCATTTCCATTATATTTAAGTTGGTTTTGATTAGGTATGACATAAGGCAGAACATACCTGCTTAGTAAACTTACTCAATGACATAATACTTAGGTGAGTAAATACTGAAATACGCACATATTTGAAAGCAGTGGGCAACGGAAAATGAAATACCCACTCAACATTCAGAATACCAAACAAATACAGTGGGTACAGTACCCACATGAGCTAAGTCTTATCTGGAGCTCTGCGTTCTGGTGATTTCGACGATTGCATTGCACGCGCTATACAACAACCAATTAGAGATATCATTGCATGTGGAATAAAACTGGTTAACTTAAAAGTCTTTTGTGCGATTTCGGCGAATGATAACAATAATTATTGCATTATATTTACTTAGGCCGCACTTGTATTTGTTGGATGTGCATGGCGTTTTCAAATATTTTGTGTCCACAGGACGAAACCCAAATTTCTGTCAGCAGCAATTCATATTTTGATGTGGAAATGCCGCAGAAACGCATCCTAGGTTTATCCTGAATATGTTTCTCTCCACATGACTTGTTACATTTGTGTACTCATAAATCGTAGCAGTAATCATATAATTGAGTGGTGGTCAGGCTCGCTTAATTGGTTGACATATGTCATCGTATCTCAACTGCTCATAACGTTGATCACTGCAGGGATGGCAACAGGAATATCTATTTTCAGCTGAAAACTTAACATCGTGTCGTCGAGTTGGAGGGTTTCTCAATGGATTTAGACGATTCACAATTGAACAATTTGAAATAAAATCCGCGGAAATCCGCAGATCAGAGGCAAATTGCCATCCCTGTCACTGTTTTTTTGGTCCAGTCTCGGACTCGCGGGTATTTACAGACCACAGCCATATAGCTAGAATATTGCTGAGTGCGGCCGTAAAGAACAAACAAACAAACAAACATCACTGAAAGTAATTAAATGTGACATCTGATGATAACAGTAATTTCCTTTCTGTCTGACATTAAGTATTTCCAACAATATATCTCTGACAATCTGACATTAAGTATTTCCAACAATATATCTCTGACATTCTGACATTAAGTAGTTCCAACAATATATCTCTGACAATCTGACATTAAGTATTTCCAACAATATATCTCTGACAATCTGACATTAAGTAGTTCCAACAATATATCTCTGACATTCTGACATTAAGTAGTTCCAACAATATATCTCTGACATTCTGACATTAAGTAGTTCCAACAATATATCTCTGACAATCTCACATTAAGTATTTCCAACAATATATCTCTGACAATCTCACATTAAGTCTATCATTTTCCGTTTCACCATTTCATGGCAGCAGTAGTTAACTAACATTGTCTATAAAAAAATGTTTGAAGTTCACAGATTATGTTGCCCAGTGATTAAATAACACACCAAATCACAGCAACTGATTTCATTTTATGTCAAGTTTAGAGAAAAAAATCAATGTGATTATGTTCCAAATATCAGCTTTCCAAGATACATGATGTCAATTTCTGTAAGAAAACTTCGCATTATTTGAAGATCAGAGTGTTTGAATTGCTTAGCAAGAAAAATGGGGATGATTTTTTAACCTAAACAGCATAAGACTGACAATAAAAGACATTGTCTTTTATTGTCAGTCGCTGTTTAGTTATTCAGTATTGATTTTGGTCAAGGATTTGTGATTATGATTAAACATGCACCTAAGAATTATCAAAATATCTATGTTCATAATACTTGTCCTTCACTGAATAATGGCTACTTCATAACTTCTTATGCAGGACAGGTTTCTGATGCACAGCACCATCCACAACACGTCACAACGATTTGTTCGTTTTTCAGTGATCAGTGAAAACAATTCAGACAATTCAGTGATCGATAGTGTTGGGAATTGGTTTAAATCTCACTATTGATGATTGGTTCATTACAACCGATCAATCATCGAAAATAATTGGTTAGCGTCATTTATCAAATCTTCCTGGCTGTGTTTGGTAATGCACAAAATATCTAGAACATTCTTTCAGTTCTTTGGGGTTTTATTCACAAATTGCACAGCATTTGCAAATTTCACATCTTTAAAGTATGACTAGTTTGTTAGGAACATGAATTTCCTGGGGTCTTAAAGAAAAATTCAATCATGACTGGGAACGAACTTGCAGTGCTTATGAAACGTAACAGACAAAACCAACCTTGTAAAAAATATTGTTAAAGCAAACAAGTGTTCCCAAATTGTTTGCGTTCGATTAAGAGAAAAAATGACTGATTGCTTGGTCGTTTGTGATTGCGATCAAATCTTCGATTATTTCAATTAATCGGACCACCACTAGTGATAAACAGCATGAGCATCGATATAGGCAATTGGGATACAATGACACGTCAAGCCTGAAAGTCACAATGAGGGCAAATCGTGGCTTCCAAACAATTATCAGTA